CAAACGAAGTTACACAGTCAAGTAGGTAACGAGTGGCCTCTATTGTGCTACGTGTAATGCAGTCGTAACGTAACGTGGTTACCGGCCGCCGGGGCGCATGCTAATGCCACGTCCGAAAAAAAAATAAAAAAAGTAAAAAGTCAACTGTCCACCGCGCTCCGTCAGTAAACTGAGTTGGCGGACTTTTCTTTTTGGAACGTGCTGAGATTCTGTGACGGGTTTTTTCACGTGAAATAATTTTCATGCATTGTTATAATAATAAAAAAATCTCAATCAAGCAGAGTTAGTCGAAAAGTTTAAAGGGTTAACGAAATTTTACTTACAGACTACATTAATTTATTGCTAAATATTATTATACATTAGGTAGATACGAAGTATTTTCTATAAGTAGTACAGGTACCCTCAAACTGATATATAGATTATAGACTCTTTCTTAGCTAAAGTCTCTTAGAACAAAGAACAAACAAAACTTGAAGCCAAACAATGATATTTAAAATAATATACATATACAATAAAAATAGGTAACGGATTTTATTATAATAAGAAAAAATAAGCTAATATTACCATCCCACAAGGGGAAGATAAAATTTATCTTATTCTTTAAAGAAAGTTAACAGTCTGTATGATAAATTAATCAAAAATAATAACATAAACAGCGAAATCACTGTAGTGTTTCTGACTTTGACATATTTTTGGCGGCCGGCTCCGGCGGACTATAATTCTTTAGTCTGAGGTAATACCTAATAATCTAATAAATATAGTAGTGAATATATAGAAACAGGTATCAAGTTTTAATTCTACTAAAATGTACAATATTTCAAAAACCTCTACCCAAAGATATGTGTTATCGGAGAGGAGAAACGTGCCTCAGCATCAATTCACTCCGAGCAGTCAATATGTCCTATGATATAAGATAAGGGATGAAGGCAGGTTTAGATAGTGATGTGCAGTTAAAATTTAAATATTTTATATTTAGTTTTCCTAAATCCGTGAAATTACAAAAAAGTAGTGAACAGTAGCTACAAAGAAATATTAATGTGATGTGCCTGTTCCATGTGATGTTTTTTTTAATTTGACATATTTTATATTAAACTTTAAATTTGTAACAAATATATTTGTATTGGTGTTTTTATTTTATTTTTATACCTATTCTTTGTTTAAAATAAATAATAGAGAAATAAAATGTTCCAACAAAAAATTATATATCTCGTGAAAAGTAGGTATAATTATTTATTCAAAATATGATTATCATAGATACTTTAGTTCCAGGGCCAATGTCATGAGTTTTTCTGAGAGTATAAATATGAAAATAAAAATTCTAATATGGATATTTATTTACTAATCACGTTTTACCTTCTTTCTTACCTATGGCAACAGCGCTACATTTTAAGGGCTTTTTTTTTAAATTTCGATGTCTTATGATCCGAAGAGTTCTTCATACCACTAAATATATCAAATTGCATACCAGTATGGCGCGAAAAGTTACCAAGGAACGTATTGGCCACTAGGGAGTTTAGTTCTATATAATGTAAATGATATTATCGATAAAATATTCAAAAAGTCGACACAACAATACGGGCTAGTGATATCGCACAGTACATAAGTCCTGAGGGATGGGATTGTCATGTAAATGGCGCGACGGGGGCGACACGGACACGACAGCCCACGCCCCGCTTTCGTGAGATGATTAATAAATCCCGGTACCTATACTTTGATTGAAACGTCTGTAGATATTTTAGACAGACATAATGAAAATACAGCTCTCACTTGATTTTCTCAACTTAAAGACAATTGATGGGATTTTAAATTATGATGGACATTTTAACAAATGTTATGGCATCGTGTTTCTCTGGAAAGTGGAAAATTTGTGACGAATCTTGACTCTTTTTTTTACTTAATTTGGTCACAGATCACATATGACATAATACCTACTATACTAATTTGGTTTAACGTCTGTGCTCTGAGTAGACACTAAAGTTAAAAAAAATTAAAAAAAAATCACTATCAAAGAAGTATTGATCTAAGATTTTCATAATGCTTGCTTAATATGGAACCTACTCGTATATTAAAAAAATGACGAACATAATTTATCGAAATAAAAATGTTTTTTTGTCGCTTCATTATAATCTTGATAGATTTAGGTGCAATGAATTTTATTGAAAAAACTTACCTTCAAACTTCATAATTTAGTTTAGTAGGTTAACTATTAGTTTTAGTAGTTTTACTGCATAGATAAGGATGCTTTAATTTTAGTCAAAACACTTGCTTTTAAAATCTACAATTTTGCTTAGTACTAGTAGCAGTTAGAAGGTAAAAAAAATATATAGGTACATTTTTTACAAAACAAGAAGTAAATACACGGCTAGCAATCGCCAAAAGCACATCAGTCCCTAGGGATGCGATTGTCATGTAAATCGCTCGACGGGGCGACACGGACACGACAGCCCACGCCCCATCGGTGTCCGTGAGATGATTAATAATCACGAACTAGATATACGTTCTTGATCATAGAAAGCTCTTTCCTATTGTATGTTCATTGGTTTTTACATCTATGTGGATACTTAAATCTTAAACCATGTCTTTTTTAATTGCATGATGATAGAATAAATTAAATGAATTATGTTCAATGTTAATTACTTGAAATAATAAATAGGTACCTACCTACCTTTTTTTTATATTATTGTGTTAGCACTAACATACACATTGTATATAACAAAACCTATACAAACATTATCAATATTTGTACTTGTATTGGTATGATGATCTCATGAAATGATTTTTATATACTAATCAATTTATTCAGTAAATACAAAACAAAAATAAAACATGTTTAACAGAAATGTGTTTACGATAAATGTTAGTAGGTAAGTATAATATGTTAAGTTAGCAGATCCGGCCACGCATAGCTGTGGCACACTTATAAAAAAAATCTTTAGCTTGGGGATAGAACTTGTAGCTTAGGGTAGCCGTTTCTCGGGTTCTTTCTCTGGAATCCTTCTGCGGATATGAAAATCGTTAATTATTCTGTTATTGGGACAAAAATTATCCTATCTTTTAAGTTGAAACAAACCATACATTTAAAAAAACGTTAAGATCGGATAAGTAGTTTCTGAGTCTATCGGACCAACATCGTAATACAAAAAAATTATATATTATATTATACAATACATAATACAAAGTCGTATTCATATCATAACTAACAATAAAAAACCTACTAAATGTGTTACACCACAAACCCACATCTGCAAGCGTTTGACACAAAATGATATTTGAAAGGATCGTTAATCTCATAAAAGCGTTGAATTTCAACGTAATGGAGATATTTATCAAATTATTCGTTATAATGCTCCAGGTATGTGGTGTCGTGTTGCCCATTTTGTAACGTGAGGCGAGGGCACGGTTGGTAATTTTACTTGATCCGTACTTTGTTAATTCGAAATTCGACTTCTTATTATCTGTTGTTAGATCAATTTGCGGTTTTTTTACTCGTCTTCGCCAAAATGAAGGTATGCCACAGTATAAAGTAGATAAAAAGTTGGTAAAATTTTTAAATATTAAATTAATCATCCCTTGAATGTAGCTTATAGGTACATTACATTCTTTATACATTTCTACTTATTTCATACATTCTTATTCATCTTTTGTATATAGGTATGTATATTATTACAAAATTAAAAAATATATACCTACCTAATTTAACTCTTTCTACGACAGCAATGTTTTTTTTAATATATAAAGAAGAATATTTTTTATGTTTTTAAAATAGGTCTGTAGGTTGGCGGGTTCATTTTTTATTTCAAAAAGTCGATGACAGCATTTATCAATAGAAAAATATAAAATAGTTGAAATGAGCTACTGGCGGCATAAGAAAGTATACAATAAATCACTCATAATTAATAGTTTATTCACTTAAAAAAATACAAACAAAAAAAGTAATAAGCTTAGTTAATCTGCACCTCTCTATTTCCACCATACAAGTAACGCCATCTATTGAAGCAAATCTGCAATATTAATCATAGCCCTTTGAAGTTTGAGTTTGAACGTAAGCATTAGTATTTATAAAGCACCTTGTCATGCACAAGGCAATTTTTCAACGTGGAAATATTATTGCTTTTACATTACCGTAGGCGTTTGACCGAGCATCTGAGCGGATTTAAACGTTGACTGGACTCGTTAGCCCATCGTTAGCCACCGTGACTTGCCCTTTCTGTTTGTCATTATGGTCCTCTTGAGTGCCCTGTCTTGCAACTTTAATTTGTTTTCACATCCTCTAAGAGTGCATCTTGTGTACAAATAAATGTAAATAGATACAATGATGCTTATTTTCATTTTTGATTGGAGGAAATATTTCTTAGTTGTACTATTTAATAACATAAAATTCATACAACTTCTTTAAGCTTTTTATATTTTTTGTGTGCATAGTGTTGTAGTGATGCATATTCTATAATTAAATCAATTACAAAGTACATAATCATGAAGCTTTCTTTGAAAAATATAATATCATTATAACCATGCACACTTAATTGTACATTAGCGAAATATTGTGCAATTAGTCAATACATTTGAATTAAAGTGTATGTTATGTTATAATTGTAAAAGAATATAAAAAGATCTATTTCTAATTCTTACATGTGTAGAAATATTTGTGTTTTAAATATTTTTTATCTCCAGTTCTAAGACGAGTACCTAAAATTAGTTTAAACATTAAAAGTAATTACTTTTAAATTAAATTAATGATTTTAATTATTTTGCTTTAAATATTTTTGTTCAATTGAATTCTTTTGTTTAGTGGCTTCCAGAAAATATTTTTGTTTGTATAAAATTGAACGCGTCCAGAAATTATTTTTATTGACATTGACAAATACAGCAGCATATCCGTTTCGTTCAAATTAACTTTGATAAAAACTGAATACTGATAAGAATGCGCCGGATACATTGAGAGCACGTATACAATAAGTTAGTTTTAATTTAAACTCATTATTTATACAAGTGAAATGGGAATGAAGAGTGATAAAGTGTTACAAGTGGTCTCAGGATGGGATGCAGTGGAGTTGATCTTCAAATGTGTTTTCGTGGGTTTGTGGCAGATGATCCAGCTCACAGTTCGAAGGTTATGGAAAGGGCACCGCAGAAAATTCTCTAAAAATTTTCCACCGGTTGAACTGACCGTAGATTCTTCTATTGGGCGGCATTGCTACATTAAAATTATGGTAAACTAATTTCGTCGTTTTTTTACGTTGTTATATTGCAAAATTATATTAAATCTTTAAAAACATACCCTCACCATTTGAAATCCATTGAAATACAATTTTGTATGAAAATAATCTAACTAGATATTTAATTTACTTTTTCAGGGTGTAAAGTACCACTATGTAGAAACAGGTCCTAAAGATGGTAAAATAGTGCTTATACTTGGAGATGCTCCAGAAACTGTAGATTTATGGGCACCAAGTTGGTCATCAGTAGTAAAAAAATTTGCTGAGCTTGGCCACCATGTAATAACACTTGATTTGAGAGGTACTGGAGCAAGTGAAACAGGTGACAGAAGTGATTTATCTCCACCGAAAGCTGTTGAGGAGTTAAAAGCGTTATTAATAGCTCTTGGAGTTTCAGAGAATAAGCCTGCAATCATAATAGGCTTTGGAGTTGGTGGTATGTTGACTTGGTGAGTAAATAATTCAAAACAAACTGATTTTAGTTTCTCATAAAATCAACAACAAAAATTTTCCTTCTTGTGTAAAACATATTTGAAAACTCTTTAAAGCAGTTAATTTTTAAAAATTTCTGTTGAGATAAAATTTAAGAGACTGTATTAACCATGAACAAAGCATAGGTATAAATAAAAATATTAATCTTACTAATATTATAAATGTGAGTTCAGATGTTTGGATGGATGTTTGTTACTCAATCACACCAGAAGAGCTTAACTGATCTGGATGAAATTTGGCACAGAAATAGATTGTAGTCTGGAATAGCATATATGCTACTTTAATTCCAGAAAAATCTACAATTCCCATGGGATAGATTTGTTTTTGTTTTTCTAGAGGCGAACAATATATACAGATGAAAAAAATTAACAAGATTTTCCTCAATGTGATATAAATTGAGGAAAATCTAGCTTTATCATGCTCATTTGAAATATGAGTCAAGACATAATTCTAAAAATTAATGTAAGTGTTAATAATCAGAAAACCTCACTAATCAAAGTTCAATAACCCTGAAACACTATATATCTCTTAATCAGTCCCTTGTCATTGAAGATAATTATGGAATATATTAATTAGTATTGTTATCATTCTTTCAAAGTTCCCATTACACACTACAGACATGTGATAGACACTCATAGCATGTAAAAATATAATATGTATGTATGTAAGTTAGATAAATAATAAATATACATTTTTTTTTAATTATGATTATATTAAATCTAGGTTACGCACTATCCCATTAATACCTATTATAAATCCCATTAATATTTAATATAATTGCGAAAGTTTGCATAAATGGATGTTTGTTACTCAATCACTCCTCAATGGATGAATGGATCTGGTGAAATTTGGCATAGAGATAATCTATATTATATATATAAAACAAAGTCGAGTTTGTTACAACACTTATGACTTATTTGTCTTCACCCCGAATAGCAGAATAACTATAAAAACATTGGAAAATTTCACAAAAAAAAATTAAAAAAAAACTATTCCACACTAACTGTCAAAACTTACCTAGGGACGAACCTGAGCGAAGCAAGGTTGAATCGCTAGTTATAATATACATAATTACTATATTCTTAAGCTCTATATTTGGTTCATCAATTGATAAAAAAATTATTTGCTATTATAGTAGTGGCAATGCACTGATACCACTTCATATATTATCATTTATATAAAGATTAAGTAAGACACGATAAAATATTAAGAATATTTAGGCTACAGCTCCTTGCAGTTGTTTTTTTTTAACAAAATCCGTCCAGCCGTTTGGGCGTAAAAGAGTAACAAACATACAGACACACGCTTTCTTTCACATTAATCTCTCAACGACCGCGGACACGCCGGCGTTACAATTAATAATATTTTCTTATAAATTTACCTGGAGGTGTTATATTATGTATGTGGCTCATGATTGTGTATCAAAGAGGCAATTGTATGTTATTTTTATGCATAGATTTGGTCATAGGTACTTCTCCCACTGCTACGGCTCGCTAGTAAGCAAGCTGGCAGTGGTCGCAGCCCCACATCCCAACCTCTACTGGCAACACCCGCCCGCATCCTTTTGTCACCGATCCTTGCATTTTATACAGGTACAGTCATTAAATCTATCTATTTATATAAATAAAAATTAATATTTCTTTGTTTGTTTTACTGTGCGTTCCTAAACCGATCGGACTGTGATGAAATTTTAGTTTGGTTGATCTACGTCCGTAAAAGTTACTGGACCAAACAAAAAAAATATACTTTATATGTTTATTGTTTAGACATTTCAAAAATCATTCATCCCCTTAGAATTTTTACGGCGTAGAATAATTTATAAGCCGCAAGCACATGAATATAATTTAGTCATATACATTGATTCCATAACAATATAAATATTATTGATAATTTTATTTTACCGACCAATCTCCTTCGTGGCTTCTCCATTCTACGTGACATTGGTGAAGTAATCTGTACTCAACTGGCATGCTTTGAAATAGAATTGAATTCATATTGTATGTTTGTTCTAGTGGCCATATTTCCCAGAAAGATGGTTAGCAGATGGTGTTATGCAAGAAGGCGGTCAGTGGGGCAGCTCTCGCGCGAGGGACTGGAGTGGCGCGTTGAATTATGTTAGAGGTATGTTGTTACATTCCTTTACATATAACTGTGAAAGGTCACTCGTTCAATTCGCTGTTTATACACTATCTCGAATATTATTTGACCTATTGAAATGAAATTTAGTAGGTAATTTTCTTGGAAAGCAACTATGTGTATGTATACGTATTCAGCCCTTTTAACACCCCACTGCTGGGCACGGGCCTCCCTTCAATACGAGAGGGATCAAGCCATAGTCTTGCATGTCAAGCATGTCTTTCGAAAACTTGCTAAGTTCTCTCAGACATGCAGATTTCCTCGCGATGTTTTCCTTCACCGTTAGACAAGTGATAATCATGTTGAAAATGTATCGCACATCACACATGCAAATATCAGAGGTGCGAGATTCCGAGCGAGCGCATTATTACTAGGCTACCACTGCTTTTTAACCGTCTTGCAAAAACGAGGAGGTTCTCAATTCGTCGGAATCTTTTTACTTACTGTTTATTAGGGACTAGCAGTACCCGCGGCTTCGCCCACATTTAAACTTCCGATATAAACATGAGTATTACAATAATGTATGGGAGTCTGCCCGATTTCTTGACATTTGATTACTGCTCCGCTCCCTTGGGTAGTAGCATGATGATATCCAGCCTATAGCCTTCTTGAATGAACGGACTATCTAATGCAAAAAGATTTTTTCAATTTGGATCAGTAGTTCCTGAGATTAGCGCGTTCAAACAAACAAACTCTGTCTTCTACTATTAGTATAGATTTAGTATAAATCCAAAGATCCCAACTTTAAAGACAGGGTCACATCTGTTAGCCAGTATATTAATAGTATACTATGATATAAAGAGATTCATTCCTCCAGGTGCAGCTTGGTACAAAGTCCACTCAGAGCACAAGATCCAAGCGAGATCTCTCCTCATAGGTGGCAGAGAGAGCGCCACGCAGCTGGTGGCGAGCGCGCAGTACTGCGCGAGCCCGGCGCTGCGGCTGCTGGACCGCCCGGGGCCCGCGGACAAGGATCTACCGCCGATGATATTGGATTTCTTTATAGGTTTGTATAGTTAATGTTATAAATGTGAAAGTGTGTTTGTTTTTCTTGCACGTCGAAACGGCTTGGCGGATTGGCGTGATTTTTTGTGTGGAGATAGTTTGAGGGCTGGAGTGATATAGGCTACTTTTTGCTGTGGGAGATTACTTCATTTTCACGAGAAAACACGTTATAACACAACCCATAACAACTCATCTTACGTATGAATATATATATATATATATATATATATATATATATATATATATATAATGTATAGTCTATCTATCCCATACTAACAGTTAAAACTAGAGACGAACCCGAACGAAAGGTGAGTCGATTTTTACTACAAACGTCATATTTATTTATCAAATATTATGTTAATTTCATTAACACTTAATAGATATATATGTAAACTAAGCAGAATAGGCAGACGTCATGCGACAGACCTTCGGTCGAAAAATTAAAAATATTCTGAATCTCAACAACAGCGCCATCTGCCGAGTTCATTTATAACTAAGAATTATTCTACAAGTGACCACACAAAGATACAAGAATTATCGGTCAAGACACCGCATATCTATCCCATTATTTAATATTATAAATGCAAAAGTTTGGATGGACGGATGTTTGTTACTCTTTCACGCCAGAACGGCTGAACGGATCCAGATGAAAGGCACAGAAATAGATTATAGTCTGGAATGACACATAGGCTATTTTTTATTCCGGAGAAATGTACAGTTCCCGTGGGATGATTTGTTTTTTTTATTTTTTTTATTTATTGATTTTCCTTATGATTATGGCATTTTTTTCTGAAATAAAACCGAACGTCCTATTTAGCGCCGTAATTTATCAAGAACCTAAAATTCGGAGACTAGATATCTAACAATAATAAAAAAATTATAACGTTAATATTAAAACAATTATAAACCTGTTTGTAGGTAAACAAAAGCCTCAAGAAGAAGTACCGAAAGGTTTGATGGGCAGAGTTATAGGAGCGGTGGCCGGCCGGGGAAGAGAACTCACTGCCCGTCTCGCCTTGCCTGCTAATGCATGATAGTAATTGTTATTATTACTGTGTATTGTGTATTTTTAAGTGAAACCATATTTTCAGTTTATTTTCGCTGTCTCCCGTAGCCATGATTGCTGTAAAGCATTCGAAATGTCGGGAACTAAAAAATTAAACTAAAACTGCGAAAAAATCAGAAATGGTAGCGTAAATAAGGAAGTATAATACGGTCTGTCTTGAGCTCACTAATTAAGTCATTAATTAAAAGAATAACAAGCCATTATTTATTGAAGTGTTTATAGAAATGTGTGGCGTATAAATTATAATGATATGGTGTGATTCAAGAATGTTTGTTTGTATGAATTTATGATGTTATTTTTTTAAATATTGATAATAAAATAATATATTATTATAAAATATTTTTTTATACTTAAAGTGAATTAATTAATTTATATTTAATACATTAAATACAAAATAATAATGTTTATTTAAACTTTACTCGTTGGTTCGGTCAAATTCGATGACCCTTGCTTGCTCTTCGATAAGCAGTTCTCCGATAAATTTATGCGAATCAATATCTTAGAATGTTTTATTTATTATAGTTATTTTTATGTAATAAATATATGTTTGTATGGATTTTCCTCAGTACTTGCTATTTTAATGGCTAAATTATAAGAAGTTTAGATTAGTAGGTACATTATTATAACTTATTATTGTATAAAGTTATGCCAAAAAGTACTTATATTTATTTGAACCAAATTTTAAAAATTAAATATATAATATAATTGAGACTGTTTTATTTATATTAACAGTATATTATATATTTTAGAATTATCAAATTGTCATTGGAATTGTTGCCATTACGTTCAAGTATATATTTAGTGGATTTTTATATAACTATATTCCAATTCATTTGTTTTCAAATGTATATTAAGAACTGTACATTTTGTTAACTTTAATGGATGAATGGTTTTTCAAATGTATGGTTATGAAAATAATATATACATATAATATAATTGAATGTCTGTAATAAAATCTAATTTATAAAAAGAATGTGTCAGTCTGTAACATAGATGTTTATTATTGTCATAATTTACTATATATGTTGTTTGCATTGATATACTATAAAAATATAGATACACATTTCCTAACAAATATCTCTTCAAAAAGTGGCGTCTACATGTGACTATAAATTAAACCAAAGAAATAACATTAAAAATCGAAAGTTCTAATTGTCTAAACACAAATTCGAACTTACGTAAACCACATAAAGTACTGTTTTAAACGAAACCGATCATACATTTTAATTTTGTCATCCGAAAAGCAATGAACTAAAGAGATTTGCAAAAAAGCGCACAATTTCAAATTATGGCGCTTTTTTTGAGGACACCTTTGAGTCACTTATTGTGTATCTTAAGTTTTTGTATATCAATAGTTGTGTACTAATAAATTATGAATATATTTAAAATTGTGTGATAATTGTTATAATATTTTACACTTAGATATGTTCCTTTACAAAAATCTAGAATATATATTTTTATATGGCAATTTTTTAGAAATAAAAAAAGACTGCTGAGGATTGTAAACGAAATGAAATGTGTGAATTATTTTTATATAAATAATTGTTTTATATTTTTTATAATATTAACCAGATATCTGCAAATATGTAGTGCCATAGTAGATATAAAATAAAACCAAATTAAAAAGTGCAAATGCCCTTTTATTACGCAATACGCCCACAAAAAGCTAACCTTTCATAAATTTTCACTATCCATATTTTATAATATTCAGTGTTCAATAGATTTCAAAATTTCTACAATAAATTGTGCGCTCGATGCACTGAACTAGGCCGCATTCATATTGCAACATGAACAAATTATACAGATACATAAAATTGTATGTAATGTAAAAATAACAGCCTTTTACTAAATGCGTATAAAATATATGTATATAATATGTTTATACGGTATTTATAAGAAAACAATTTTAATTTTTTTTGTCCCTCTGTCTGTTTGTTTCGGCTAACCTCTGTAACGGTTGGACTGATTTTGACGGGTAGTTCACTGGCAGATAGCTAATGTTAGGCTACTTTTATTTTGAAAAAAAAATCAGGGTTCCGCGCAAAAAAAAACCATGAAATTGTGACTGTAATCTGCGTTCCTAGGCACGGACCAGAGCGAAGCAAGGGTAAGTCACTAGTTATTAACTATATTTAGATAAATTTAAAATAATGTACGTTTATTGAAGTTTGGCTTTTTTAACCGATATTAAAAAGGGAGGCATTCCTCCATTCATGTTTTATTTTCATTTGATCACCCATCAAATGTGTGTCGCTAGCGATGATGCTTTACTTTGTATATTAGTGGAGATCGTTCAATATCGTTGATTATTTAGTTGTATTTTAGTTTAATTTATGAATATATATTTGAAAAAAAAATTAACAAAAAAATAGGGTTTTTCATATATAACCTTCATGTCATCTTAATGATATTTTACCCGATTGCGTCGAAAGCTAAAGCTTTTCTTTCTTTTTTTTTCAATATTTTGAATATTGTTGCAATATGAACGCTTCCCGTAAGAATTATTATCACATTAGCTTTCAACAAAATTATCTAATATAAAATAATACAAGGAAAATATAACTCACATATGTTATAATTTATACAATATTTATTTGTTCCAGATTGTGTTTACCAAATATTTTACAAATACTGACTTAATTCAGTCCTATCAAATTTTCAAAAACATTCAAAATTAAAAAAAATGACAGTTACTTTATCTGTGTAGTTAATTTTCAAACCGACTTCCCAAAAAAAAATTAAATTTGACAGATGTTTTTATATTCTAAAGTGCTATATTAATACATATTATTACAATACTATTTCAAAGAATATTCTTATTAAATAGCTCTAAAATATATAAAAGTATGGTAATTTAAAATAAAAGAAATAATTCCACCCATTAAAGTGGAATATATCAACATTTTCATATCGAAGTCGGTTATTTTACAAAGAAAGTTTTATTTATTTATTTAAAACAAAATGTGTAACAGTATGAACATTTAACCGCCATAATATAAGGCTTACTACAACGCTTCACAAACACTGAAGAGGCACACATTCCTACAATATGCTATTTACCAACGAATGGGACACGTTTCAATTAAAACAAAATCAGTCATTTCTTGCATTTTAAATCCGAATATGGACAATATATTATTAAAAATAAAACCACTTATTAAATAATGTTCAAAATTCTCCCGTGACCATGATTGCTGTAAAGCATTCGAGACGGCGCCGGGAACTAAATATCAAAATAAATCCACGAAAAAATCCAAAAAATAGATTAAAAATGTCAAATTCGCATTAATATAAGTATTATTAAAATATTTTATTAAAAATGAAAGAAAACATTAGCCCCTATTTTTTTTTATTCCACCATGAGCGTGTACAAGGTTGTGTATATATTATTATTATTTTTTTCAGAATAAAACTAACTTTTTAGTGTAACAAATCACACTAATTCCGAACGATTTTGAAACTTTCATTACGTTATTACGTGAAATCTAAATGCAATAATTGGTATCGATCAGATCTGATGATAGAGCCAGAAAGTAGATAATGGAACTCTTCAAGATTACTAAAACTTCCAAGTTTGAGATCATTCGATTCGTTTAGACAAGCCCCATACACTACAGCTAATCAAATACTTATTAGAATTTTTATTAAAATTAATTATTTTAAATATTTAACACCCAAACTATATTAACAAGTACTTTTATTTATAACAATATACCAAAAATATATATACAGAAACGTGCCCACCATTACGTATAATGAAAGCGAGTTGCCAAAAGAAATGGACTAGACTTAAGGCGGGCGGAGAATTCTTCAATAAATGAATTCAAAAAGTACCAAATAGCATTAAACCACATTGAAAAACAATCCGATACAAATATTTTGGCACACTGTACACAAATTTGACATCAATACAAACTAGCTGTCTTAAAATTCAATGAATCTCTGAATAACTTATAAAAATATCATGTAATCTATACTAAGTTTGTGACGTTGTAGGGGGTAATCTCTGGATCTACTGAAGCGATTTAGATAAAATTTGGTAAGAAGATAGTTTAAGACCCTGGGAAGGACATAGGATACTTTTTATCCCGGAAACCCCTTAAGGGGGTGAAAATGGGGATAAAAGTTTGTATTGGGAATCAAGCTAGGGACGAGCCCGAGTGAAGCGAGGGTGAGTCGCTAGTAAATAATAAACCTCAACTACTAATCCATGTGTTACTTCAGGTAATAGTATATCTGTGAACTCATCCAAATATTCTTTATTACTTTTCCTATTTAAATAATTGTATTAGATGTGACATACAGACAGAATATATAAACATATATGTATGTATGTACATATATAACATATATTGTGTATCTAGGTCATCTAAGAACGTACTGAGAGCGATAAAATAATTTGAATTTAATAATATAGAGTATTATGCAATGAACGTATAAATTAAGAGATCAAATTTTTTAAATACATGAAATTTCTTAATAATTATGAATGGTGATGGCATTGCTTGCAGCGTCAGGGTCGTGAGTTCGATTACTCTTATTTAAAAAAATAGGCTGAAGCTTCAAAATCTGCAGAAACATATGATATATTCATCTTTCCAATTTTTATAAATTATTCAAAGTTCAAAAATTATTCTAATATGTAAAACTTACAAAATAAATAAATGTACAGATAAATTACATCTTACAGTTACAATTATACAATCTAAGCGTCAATGGCACTAAAAACGCCTCGATATAATAAAAAGTGGCAGTTTTTTTTAGAATAAGTAGATTTTTACTTTATATTAACCTAAAACAAATACATTTCATATGAAAAATTATTTAAAAAAACGATTCTAAATCAGTTACAATGAATGGAATGAGTGAATGAAAAAATAGCCATGAATGAACGAAACGTAATTTGTCATATGAAATTTAGTTCGTAATATTATTTCCATAATAAAAGTTCAAAATACTACAACTTATAGTACACGTCATAATATATCTTTATACAAAAGTCACAATAACAAGTTTCTAAGAGAGTATCTACAGGAGTATAAAGTAAATCATTCGAAAATGCCGTTTAGACCGCCGTTTCTCCCTTCACCTCTGCGTCGGACACCGCTTCACTAACACAACTGTCACTGTCAGGTTTCAACGTCACGTCACTATTTACAGTCACGTCTAAAACGTCTTTGCGCGTTCTCTCCTTGTCTCTACTCGTTATTTGAGTGTAAAGTTCGTCTAATTCACTTGAAAACGATATCGGGCTGTCGCGGTTCACTTCTGGACAACTTAATGCGGGAGTTGGCACGTATTTTCCTAGTTTAGGATTGTTTTTTATCGTTTTACGCCATCCCGGGTCGTAGTTGACGTACTGGCTCTCTAATGTTGAAACGTCCTCATTGCTGAAACTGATCTCGTTGGGACACATTGAGGAAGGCGATGGTGCGTATAGCCCATGACTCCGTATACTAACTTCGGACATTTGGTAATTTGGGCAGTAAATATCGCTTTCATTTTCAAAACCTTGCTCACTAGTATTAGTACTGCACGTTTCAAAATCATAAGTCGTTTTCGCCATGAAGAATGTTTCTTTATCGTCGTCCATTTTGTCTTTAGATCCAACCATGTCGGACTGTAGTAAATTATCCATTTCTCCTAAACCAACATCTAAATTGTGGGGTGTGCTTGAACGATTCACGTCATCGCTATTCATTGTGCACTCCTCAGATATATCTTGTAGAGATTTATCCACGACATCTTTATTTTCATGTGTTTTATTAGGTTGGAGGTAGTCTATGTATTGTCCGAAACTTTCAGTATCTGTTATTTCGTTGGTCGAACATAAGGCACTGTTTTCTTGGAACGATGTAAGTTCTGAATGAGTATTTAAAGTTTGGTCGGAACACGTGTGGGGCATGGCGATTTCTGATGCAGAACTATATTCCAAACTGCACTGTTGAGATATAGTCCTCATTTCTGGGTGTTCAGCGTGACTTTGAAGGCATTCTTCCGAAACGCTACTCCTTTGGGCATTCAAAGATTTTTGGGCATTAGCTTTAATTATCTGATGTTGTGGAACTTGAGTTTCTGGAACGTTGGTGTAGATATTCATAATTTGACCTCTCCCATGTTTGGGATCATCGTTTTTGGCCCAAGATTTGTGATCTGTCGAATAACTTTTAAAGTCCTTCGGTTCATCTTCCAATAAATTAGGATTTGTTGTGTTTCTAGGTTCCTTTATACCATTGTTCGATCTTTCCACGTGTTGATTTGTGTTATTCACTTTTGTACCCGCGTTAATGAAACTGGCCACGCCATTATATGCCTCTTTACTCGGTAAGGGTAATGAGATATGTGAATCTTCATCGCAATCCCGTCTCACGGGCAGTTCTAAGCAATTTCTTTTCATATGTTGTCTTTGTTTCTTGAAGAATTTCTTAGCAACATTCATTTGATTGGGATTGTAGAATATTTCTGGTCCGACTGAGGCCGAATCGGGATATGTCATCATAGAATTGTTCGATCTGTATTGTTGTCTGTGTAATACTACAAGATTTATATTTGGCGTTTTGCCATTTGTATTTTTGAGGTCTTTTGGCAAAGTTTGACCATTCAACTCCGCTCCTCCTTTGTACGTACCACTGTTGTTCGTTTTAGAGTTAGTTCTGTTCGAACTACGACTGCCGGACCTCGATCTGTTATCATTGAGTACATGTTGAGGCGATACAGTTGCTTGGTTTGTGGGTAAATTTTGTTGATTCGTATCAAAAACGCTTCTATTCCTACAGCACTGTTTACTAGACTGTAAATAACAATGCATCAGCGACCATTGCGCTCGTACATCACTCCTCGCTATGCCGTAGAAAAATATTATAAAAGTCCCCAAAACCGTTGCACAAACCGCGTATATAATACTACAAATATCTTCTTGATAGGGCAAATAGGCTGGTAAAGGTCTGTACACAGCTATCGCGCCACACGTCCAGACAGACATATATAGAGACAGAACAATAACTTGTGCTCGCAATTGTATTATAGGTGTATGTTCAACATCATCTATTTCCGAATCCACACCCGATTTAATACTACGCCTTTCACCGCCATCGTTATTTTGATTAGGCTCCCACATTTCCAAATCAACATTTTCCGTCGCTTGCGTACCTTCCGACAGTTGAACATTCATATTCCGTATCGTACACCGTATCAGCAGAAACAGTATAAATATAAACATAAGCAAAATGGCGCCGGGGATAAACAGAGCGCTCAAAGCGGGCGCAGTACTCAAAAAACACTGGGAATAACCGGCGTAATCCTTCAAATTGACAGCACCGGATATACCACAAATGATCAAAGCTATCCCCCAACCCACTAAATACAGACCCAAAATAGGTTTCTGTATTGGAACATCCGGGGGTATATCATCTTCGGGAGTCCTCACAGGGTTATGGGTTTTTGTTACCCATTTATACATATTGCTTGCCGACACACACATCCAAAGCAAACAGGATAATGATAGATAATGAATCAAGAGACCTAGAATCTGACATAATTTGACATCCTCCGTCTGATATATACCTAGTGTATACATAAAACATAGCAGAGCTATCGCTATCCAGGTATTTATTAGGGCATGTTTAGCTTTTTTCGCCATTTGTATGGCGGGATAGCACATTATGTAGGTTAGTGTTGTGCAACTCACGCAACCAATGAGGATAAGGCTGCCGACGTATACCGCGGGATGGGATACTTTAAACCTAGCCCCGTCTGTCCTCGCCCCGTATATCCCGGTTTCCACATTTTGCAATATACCCACGTAGGAGAGGCGAGTGCATGTGATGATTATCATTTCTGACACGACGTGCGACACTTTACAATCTGGAAGGAAATTTAAAAGGGCGAAATTAATTTAAAAAAACTGAATTTCGTATAATATGCATATATTGTTTCGAAGCAAAATGTTATCATTAAATAAATATGTTGGGACATTAAAACACAGCACCATCTAGTTCCATGGTAAGCTACGAGGTTTGTGTTATGGATACCAGATGGTTGATACACTACATAATAACTTTAAATACATACACATAAATATATCACTACATCTTAAGTCATCTATTTAGATAATAAAAATTTTATAAATTATTTCCAAAAAAATTTTTTATGTAATAATATAACAACTTATTATAAAAATGTGCAACTGAAATTAATAAATACAATAAAGTTATTTTACATAACTAATTCCTCCCTGCGTCTCGTAACTCATACTAGTGCAACTATCGTTGCGCGGTTCTATAAAGCTTTGTGTATTCAGCCCTTTTTTAACGTCCCACTGCTGGGCACGGGCCTCCCTTCAGTACGAGGGGGATCAGGCCATAGTCCACCACGCTGGCCAAGTGCGGGTTGGCGGACTTCACATGTCTTTTGAAAACTTGCTAGGTTCTCTCAGACATGCAGGTTTCCTCACGATATTTTCCTTCACCGTTAAGACAAGTAGTAATCATGTTGGAAATGATTCGTACATGAAAATATCAGAGGTGCGAGACCCGGGATTTGAACTCGCTTTACTCGGTTTCCCAAGCGAGCGCGTTACCACTGGGCTACCACTGCCTTTGCTTTGTCTTTGTATAAACACTTACTCAGTACTCATGTAATATGTCCCGTGCAGTTCAGCCTTAGTGAGGTCTGACCACTGAACTGGTATCAGTAGAAAGATTAAGTAGTAATACAAATAAAGACCGGTACACACCCTAGTATTATCATAGAACAGCAGTTACAAATTAAGGTTGGTACTCCGTACACACCATTAGTATCATGCAACAAAAACAACAAAGAGGCTGGTACACACCAGTAGTATGATTCTTTAACAACAATAAATATATGCTGGTACGCACTAGTAGAATCATTCAACAATAATAACAAATAAAGACCGGTACACATCAGTATTGTCGTCCAACAACATGTACAAATAAAGACGGGTACACACCAGTACTATCATCCAACAACTTGTACAAATAAAGGCGTATACACACCGGTGGTGTTGTCGTTCCAGCGCCGCGCGGCGGGCTCCCACACGGCGGCGCGGCCCTCGCCCGCGCCCGGCGCGGCGCCGCGCGCGCGCACCGTCGCGATGATCGGCTCCAGCAGCTCGCCGCGCATGCTGCTGTCTGCTGGGGGGATAAAAAAAATTTATTAAAACAATTTTGTTCATAAAAAGTAAAAACGCAATATAGCATTTAAAATATTTTTTTTTTTCAAACATTTTGTATATACTAATGTGCTCATTTAACTTAAAATATACTTATAATGTCATCCTGACCGATTTCGGCCTCGGCAGCCTGTAGAAAACAGATTATAAAAAAACAGAAAGTTTAACAACGTATATTACCCGGTACGGTAATACGTTTTACAGTGACATTGGAACATGACAATTTTAAATAGAAGGGAAAAAAGTAGGCACACAACCACCACCAATTAACAAACAGGTTGAAACTGTTTATTTATAAAATTACAATTAAATATTTTATGTTTACTATTCCAACACAGCCAAATTGAGACTAGCCATCTGCGCAGGAGATATTATAGTACACAAGTATAAGTATAAGTACAAGCACATCGTGCTTTCTCTATTCCTTTGCTCTCAAAACCCAATAAGACGATAATTAAAAAACCGCGATGATAGAACATCTGTAAAGGCGATGCGACACGTGCTCTCTGAAGCACGGGAACGACACATCACCAACTACCCAACTCCGGACTAATGCAGAGACTTTCTTAACAAAAACACTCAATAACTAAACTTAGCCCGACGCGGGACTCTCATTCAGATTTCATTCAGAAATGCCGTTATACATGCTAAGCCACTACACCACAGAGTTAAATTTGAAAATATACTCATACTCACTTAATTGAAACCCAACTACGGGAGACGTGATCTCCATATTCATATCCTCCCTCTTAGTACTCCTCCCATAGTAATCTTTGGACCTGTGCCCTCTCATAGGTCCCTCTGCCAACTCTGGCAAGAGAGGGAACAGTGAGGCATCTTCATACATGGATATGACTAGATCGTGCGGCTTTATGTTGAGGAGGGTTCCTGTGTCCGTTGCAGTGTATAGTAGGGTTTGGGGAATCTGGAATTAATAATAATTCATATTGTATTATTTCTAACCAATTTAAAAAAAGAGGAAGTAATTAATTAGGACGTGTCTTGTAAATATGGTACGATAAATAAAACTGAAGTGTCTGTTTGTAATGTTAAAAATAATAGCTTTTAAATACTGTTGTCTGTCTGTCTCTGTCACTATTTGTTTTGGCTAATCTCTAAAACGGATGGACTGATTTTAACGGGATTTACACTGGCAGATAGTGCATAGATATGTTAAGGAGTAACTTAGGCTACTTTTAGTTTAGATAAAAAAAAATTATAAAAATAAAAGGCCTGACTGCATAAAAGCTAACTAAAAAGATAAAAACAAGCTGACGAAGGAATATAATATTATGCAGTCGGAGACATACACGTGTCATTCTTGCCCAGAGATGTACGTAATATTATGTAGTCACTAGTCTTAACTAAATGTGCACAAATCTTGTGATTCTTTTTTAGTGAATCAGTTAAACGTGAAAATTTTAAAGTGTTTTGTATGATGTACTGTGTGATATAGTTGTATTGAGTAATGTGTGGTGTGGTGTCAAGTGTAGTGTGTGGTGTAGTGTGGGATATGTACCTGCACGCTGGCGTGTACGAGCGCGTCGCGCGCGCGGTGCGCCACGGTGCGGTTGGTGGCGGAGCAGTGCAGGCGCGGCGGCGCGCCGTACCACACGCACGTCACGCCCGCGAAGCCCTCGCCCGCCGGGAACCGCTCCACCGACAGCTTGCTCTGACCAAGCATATTATACATATCATTAACCAATTTAAAAAAAGAACGAGTTGATTAACCCAAATGTATTTTGTTTTTGTGTATCATGCGATATTTTCATTTCTAAGCCTTTTTAAATAAATAGATTATTATCAACCCTCAATGTGGTTATTCTATATGAATTAGTTAGTAGAAATTAAGTAATAAAAATTACCTGTGTATGAGTTATATTACTCTGTGTATTCTCATGGAAATGAAATATTTTCACACGGTAAAAAGCTAGATCACTTTTCTACTATACCTATTGTAAAATAATGAAAATTTGTAACTCAATTTTCGTCTAATTACATTTAACCCACACCGACACTAGGTAATTGTAATATTTAGTATAAAAAGGTTTAAAGTTAAAAGGTATTTTTAAATTATCACGTATCATAATTATTACGTAATAATTACACTACGGGACTTAACGTGTGAATTCGTAAGTGGCTATATAGCTTGTTCCCGATGTTTCGACTGGGTTGCATCAGCCGTGGTCACAGGCAGACTGGCGGCGTATGGATACCGTAACAAGGTATAAAAGCACTTACGAATTCACGCGTTAAGTCCCGTAGTGTAATTATTATAAATTATAAAAAGGTAGTCGTAAACCAGTGACTCACTTGAGAAACCGAATCAAGAAAGTGCAAATCCCGGGTCTCGCACCTCTGATATGAGGAAACCTGCATATCTGAGAACCTAGCAAGTATGTTGATGTCTCTAATTGCAATATATACTCTAATGGCAATCTCACCTTATGTCCTTGCACATTACTGGTGTATGCTGATATTTCTTCAACAGCTTTCACCATGTCAGTACAAGAGCCATACTGTGTCTCCGCTTTTGACATCACTTGACTTGATATATTCATAGCTGAGCTGATTACATCTAAAAGAGTTGAACCTGGAAAATAACAATAAAAATGGTTTTAATGTATATCTTTTACTTTTTTCTGATTTACTTTAATCAGTTACTTTAATAAGACTGAAAGAAAATTGGTAATGTAAATATTGTTTTTTTTAAAGAGTATTGGTACCAAGAAAGTGGAATGTTGGTATCGTATATTTGGACTAGTTTCTACAACTCAACGACTTTGCGCCTATTTTACATGTGGAAGAATATTAATCTGTTAAAAGCGGAATTATTTATATATTTTTTTAAATTATAGTTATAGCTACCCTCACTTTTTCCTTTGTAGCATTTATAGTGTACAATGGCATAGATAGAATATAAAAACATTAGAGTTTATTTCTTTTTAAAAGATCATAATCAGACCATTCAGATTCATTCAGATTGTAGTACCTATGGCTTACATAAATACACATCATAATTTGTATTAAAAAATTATATTCTTTAACAATTAAAAATAAACTCACCTAAATCCCTCTCTTCAGATATATATTGCATATAATTCCTTATAGCTTTAGCAATAAACATAACATCATCTGCATCAGTGATCTCGGCCAAGGGGTATGTCTTTTCTTGAATCAACATAGCTAACCTTTCTGTCGCATTTAGTGCGGAATATTGCACCAAACTAACATTCAACAATGCAAATTGCTGCAATAGCTTTGTTATATTACTTATGTACGAACATTCAGATGTATTTGCTGGACCCCAAGTAGCATTAGCATTGCAGGACCTATAGGCTATACCCTCTCCACTTCGACAAGGGACTGTTGCAGTATGGTTTATCAATAGCTGAGGCCATGAATATAGACCTTTGTTATCTATGGTATGCTTCGATAAGCAATATTGTGTCTGATTCGAAAGTACCAGCACTTGTACTGTATAGTTGTGTCTAATGTGATTTTGGTCACTGTACATACAAGTCCAATTACCCGTATGGTGATTAGTAATGTTCTGAAAGTACACTATCGTTTCCGCTAAGCCTTCTTCTTGCATATCTGTGTTTGTAATATTTACATCGCATATTTCGAGCATTGGATGCATCCATTTCAATTCATACTTAGCCATAACTGATGCAAAGGGTGCATTGCAGTTTAGAACCAGGGTATCTCCCTCAAAAACCACTTGGTCATGACTTGGTTTCACTATCAAACTGTTAGATGGCAACACACTCCCACAGAGAGATAAGTCAAGAAAAATTTTCAATTTCCTAATCGTTTTATTAACCATGTTCTCAGGAAATGCACATTTGGGGTTGCCAACTAGCTTTACACTGGTGTTTCTAGACCAGTCGCCAACCCAAAGTAGTTCACAGTCACATATCAGGGGATTGTCTGTTATGTCTCTGAAAAAAATAAGTTACTGATAAAAATATTTATTTAGATCAAAATGGTGATGTTATTTAAATACACCTAAGATCATGCATATTATGAATGTAGTTTATAATTTTTTATATTTTAATATATTAAAATTTATTATACATTTGGCCACACTAATACTTACATTTGTTTTAAACCGACTAGATAGTCAAATGTTCCTGCACTCAAAACAGATATATGATTTTGGGTCAATATCAGCCTCTCTAAGTTAACAAGCCCTTTAAACATTTCCTTGTAAATATTGCTGATCTGATTGTATGAAAGATCTAAGCGTTGTAATGAGGTCATATTGTAGAAAGCATCAGATTCTATTAGTGATATCTGATTCCTACTAAGGTCGCTGGAATATAAGTTTTAAATGATACCTTACAATGTAGTATAAATTATTATTAAGCATTAAAGTTGTAAAGTTATCAATTTTTTACTTACAGTTTTTGTAAATTGGGCAAATGAAGTTCCCTTGATAATGTAGAAATAGCATTTCCTGATAGATTTCTGAAAATAAACATTTACTTTTATTTGCAATGTAATTTAACATTTTTGTAATTTTCATAAATATATCTTTACAATTGTCTTTATTACTAACAGAAAGAATTCACAATACAGTGAAATGGAACACTGTTTATTTTGAAAACTTAAAATATGCACTCATATAAATATTTACATTTTATTCATTTGAAACACCTGTTGTTCAGACAGATTTGTTTATTGATTTATTTAATAAATTGTACCACTTTTACCATGTAGAATTATTTTTTACTTACAAGCTCACAACAACCGTCCACAGTTTGCTTAGATCAATTTCCTTAAGCTCTGTAATTTGCGCTGGAGTACCGCCGCACTTTAGCTTTAGGAGTTCACCTGGCAGTGGATCCACGGACACCCCTTCGGCCGCCTTGTTTCCTTTGCACGAACATAGCGATGGACAAAATCCTAGCGACCCCTCAAAGAACAGGAACAGTAGTATTATTGGAAAAAGCTCCATTTTACCCCTTTCACATAAAACCACTATGGCACAAAGCCAAATGCGAGTAATAATCACATCTTCGCAAATTCCTCACTACGTCAATGGTACGCTAAAAAGATCAAACACAGCAGTGGCGATATCAATTACATGTGGTTAATGATGCTAAATACAGCACATTTCAGTTGGCACTGATTTTATTTAATGTAAATACAAAAATAAACAATAGTACAACTACACACAAGCACTCATCCGACATTTGTAGAAAATGACTGATTGATTGAAATTTGAACGAACGATTATTGGTTATGGAATGGTGGCAATATAAAATGAATGAATATTTGCTTAGCTATACACACAGATTATGGAGACTGATATAGACAATTTTTGAATCTAAAACAAAAAGGCCAGAATCTAGACCTACCCTACCCCAGCCTGCAAATTTATGATATTCGCAATGAAAAAAATACTAATTGATAGATTTTTAATAGCTCAATTCAACTACGTAGCCCTTCCAAATTACTCACCATTAATTATAAAATTAAAAATCAATAAAGTCCTTGAAAAAAAATTCATTTATCCGTATATTCAAATTTCTATATCTTTTGATATATACAATATTTTAAATTGCTCAAAGTTCTAAAATACTGCTCAAGTTGCATTTGTAATTGCTCAAGTAGAGTTCTCACCAGCTCCACTTTCCTTAATTATTAAATAAATATAAATAGTTTGAATAAATTTAACGTATAGATAGGTGAGTGCTGCGCATGCGCGCAAACAGTAACGCGAGTCGCAAGGCAAAAAAATCAAGTGTTTCATAACCTCATCATAGTGAAATCATGAAATGAAACTGTAATACTCCAAGCACAACATCATCTATTATCAGGCATTTTTATAGGGCATGATTTTCACGTGTTCAGGTATTTTGCGCATTGCAAACGAAACTAATTTGTTGAAATCAATTCTAGTCGGTTTTGAAAATTTAGATTTAAAAAAAATAGATTTAAATAAAATTTAAATTTGTATATTTAAAAATAAAAAAAGTTCCGTCTTGTATTGATGTTAATAACATTTTACTAATGATCCCTGTCATGGCTATTACCTTAATAGAATAAGCATTTGAACATAAGATTTTGTCTTAATTTATCTGTTGGTATTAATTTTCATTTATTGGTAGATTCCAGATCTGTTCTTTATGTTATAATATCTGAAGTGGAATCACGTAATGTGAACAATTCATAATTTCAATAAATTTAAAGAAATCCACCGAGAAACAGAATTAAGACGTTGAATTGGAACGATTGTCCAAGCCCGCCGAGGCCGACCGACAATGCGCGGTGCGCATGCGCACGCTCACTTAACCTACGTTACATTTATTACAACTATACTTTTAATTATTTAATAATCAGCGAAAGTGGAGCTGGTAAAAACTCTACTTGAGCAATTACAAATGCAACTTGAGCAGTGTTTTAGAACTTTGAGCAATTTGAAATATTGTATACATCAAAAGATATAGGAGTTTGAATATACAGATAAATTATTTTTTTTTCAAAGACTTTATTGATTTTTAATTAAATAATTAAAGGTGAGCAATTTGAAAGGGCTACGTAGTTAAATTGAGCTATTGAAAATCTATCGATTAGTATTTTTTTCATTGCAAATATCATAAATTTGCAGGCTGGGGTAGGGTAGGTAGAATCTAGTGCAAGAATATGTAACCTGTATTAAACAAAGATTAAAAAAGAAAAATAATCAGAGAAAAATTTGAAAATCAAATGGTGAACCGTTGAACATCCACCGTCGCCGTGTTTATTTTGTTTGTTATAAATGATATAGAGATATTATTTATAGTATCATGTTAGGCTCAAGATCTTCTGATAATGAAATATCAAAAAGGGATATACCTTCCTTTATTGAACCACGTCCACCTTTAATATCAAACCCTTTTATGAGGCCTAAACCGCAGAAGGGTACAAACTTATTGGAATTATTTGAAGAGGATTCAGAATGTGAAGAACCTGAATTAGTGCAAGTTTATCTAAGATTAAAACCGTGCAATAAACTTAGTAATTTATATGAAATCCGATCTGACCGGTGCTTAATAACGTCGTTGGATACCACAACAGCAGGACATGGAAGGCGAACTCAGCATAATGTATCAAAAATGTACACTTTTTCCCATATTTTTGGACCAGATTCCGACCAAAAGGTCAGCAAAATTGAAATACACATAAATCTTATTGTTTAAAGATTACAAGATTAGCATTTTACAGTTAAATATGACAATGTGTAATAAAATTTACTTTTTTTAGGAAATTTTTGAGCATGTCGTAAAAGACAACTTAAAAAGGCTTCCAGAAGGTCACAGCTTTACTCTTCTTACATATGGAGCATCTGGATCAGGAAAGACCTATACCCTTATGGGTACAGTATCGTCACCAGGCTTAGTGCCAAGAGCACTAGAATATGTGTTCAAAGTTGTTGATGCTTCTCAAACTCCAGAATTTAAACCAGCTGAAAGAGGTGCCGATAGACTGAATTATGCTGAACAAAACTATGAGTTACAAGTTTGTATTTAAAGCTTTAACTTGTATAAAATATGACCATGTTGTATTATATATATTAATACTGTGGTAATTATATTTTTCAGTGGATAAAAAGACTAAGACAGATATCTGCACCCTTAAGGGAGAAATATCGTAGAATGAGTGCTCAGTTATTTGGTGACCTTACGTCTAGTACTATAGACCTCTCTAACAGAAAAAGACATTATGTTTGGGTAAGATATAGAAACAGTTCTTATTGTATTAATATATTTTTTAACTACCCTGCACTGATTTACTAACAAATGCCTATTTAAAATTATAGTCATAAACAATACAGTTATCAATGTTATGAAATTAATCTGAGTAAACAATAATACAAATTTTCTGTAATTTAGCAATCTTTACTTCAATATTATGGAAACTATTTTTATTTTTGTAGGTTTCATTTATAGAAATATACAATGAAGGCATTTATGACTTACTAGCTCCTGGTGATAGGAAAAATGCTTCCAAACTTGCCATAAGAGAAGACTCCAGTGGCAATGTTTATGTCAAGGTAACACTTATTTTAAAATAAAAACAGGCTATTAAGTTAATCGGATTATTAAGTTTTAATATTGATTTATAATCTATACATATAATAAAATTGTAACTAAGTCGAATCTGTACATTAATTTTTTTTGGAAAATCTAATTGAAATAGATATTATTATCGGTACAGAGTTCGAATCTATAGTTTTTAGAATTTTTGTCTGTCTGTCTGTTACCGCATCACGAGAAAACCACTGGACAGATTTTGACAAAATTTGGTAAGATGATAGCTGGTTATCCGGGTCAACATATAGGATACTTTTTACCTCAGGAAAATATCTCATTTCTGAGAAAAAATACAAAAACTGCATTGTAAGATTATACTAATATGTAAAACCTAAGAATTTGGTTTTGAGTCAACTGAACGCGGGCGGAGCCGCGGGCAATGCTAGTTTTATTTATAAAACAATATTAGTTTTTTCTTCACTGTCTTAGTGGTCTAGTGGTAGTATGAACACCTGCAGATCCAGAGCTCCTGGGTTTTTGAGTCCTGGGTATGCCCAAATTTAATTACTGAATTTCTCTGTTAAGATATTCTCAGTAGCAGCCCAGAGTGTGGAAGTTGGCAGTGTGTAACCCCCATGGCTAAGTATCATCACAACGGACTTGGAGTAAAGAGGGCATGTTGTTGTATTGTTGTTCATACACTTGTTTTATATAACACTCTCAGTCTCAGTGAGATTGGTCGCCGTAACTGAAATTGGTCAGGAAAAGAAATTTAAAATCTATTTTCAACTTTATGTAAACATGTCATATTTCTTGCAGGGAGCAACACAAACATTTGTCAAATCTGGTGAAGAGGCATATGATGTGATGGTAGCGGGCAAGCACAACCTGCAAGTAGCAGCCACGGGCATTCATGCACAGTCTTCCCGTTCCCATTGCATATTTACTATCACTATGCTCACTGAGACTGGTGAGTTATATTATTGTGTGTTATATTATTACAGTCAAAATCTATTGAAATGATGTATCAGTCAATATTCAAATCAAATTATACTTTATTCAAATAGACTTCTACAAGCTTTTTTAAAATGTGAATTTTAAATTAAAATTAAATGCCAGTTCACTGCCATTCAATACAATGCCATTTCATTTCATATATCATTATAATAATAATTATGTTCTTATCTTGCACGAATATCAACTATTAGTAATCCCACACATTTGCATCAGCAAAGTATTCCGCGATGGGATAATATGCGTTGCTCAATTATATATTTTTAATTATTGACTTAAATTGTTCTAGTGGCAAGCTCAAAATAGAGTGTGGAATTTTATTATATATATAGAAATACGGGGTAAAATCGGGATGCTAAGGAAAATATTATATAAAAAATTTCTCCAAGTAAATAATTTTTTAACAATATTCATTTGATATTCAATATTCATATGATTGATTTTTTGGAAAATCTAATTTAAATACACATTATTATTAATATAGTCCGAATCTATAGTTTTTAGAATTTTTGTCTGTCTGTCTGTCTTTCTTGTCTATCTGTGACCACTGGATAGATTTTGTTGTGGTATGATGATAGCTGGTTATCCGGGTCAACATATAGGGTACTTTTTATTGCGGGAAAATATCTCATCTCTGAGTTTATACTAAATGTTCAATTTTAATAAATGTGTGATCACTTAAAAATTAACTCAAACGAATAGTCTCTGTGGCGACATATATTTTACTGTCTTCGAGCAGAGGAGGGCGTGCGGTCGTCGTGCGTGCGGCTGTGCGACCTGGCGGGCTGCGAGCGCGCGGCGCGCACGCGCAACACAGGCGCGCGCATGCACGAGTCGCGCGCCATCAACTCGTCGCTGCACGTGCTCGAGCGCTGCCTGCGCACGCTGCGCAAGCGCGCGCCCGCCGGCCCCGCGCGCGCGCACCTCGTGCCCTACAGGTATGTGGCTGTACTGTGTTCGTCGAGTGAACCGAGCACTGAGATTTTGCGCTTCCACGTGATTACTTGCAGATAAGACGCTTAAGCCGCGATCACAATGCAAGTCATATTAATCCGTCGTTACACTCTGTACCATTACAAATTATTAATAATTCCTCACTAAAGCATTAGCAACATGAATGAGCCCTATGATTTCAAAACAGTTGCAAGCGTTAGTGGGCGGAACTAGACAGTTTTCTGTCCTTATCAGTTTGTATGCTAATGTGGGAGAAAGAAAGCGCTTCGCATGGTTCACTGCGTGAATAGAGTATAGAGGTATTAATGCCTTGTTGATGCTTCACACTGTTATTGAGAATTTTCTAACAGAAATCCTTGAATAGCTAAATTTGGTCATCTGCAACCATTCAGAATACACATGCTGGCCACTAATCAATAGTAATACTTACGTAATTGTAAATGCTTAGATTTATGCGAATATTTTACATTTTATAAAAAATCTCTCCGTTGACCATTATTGTTGTAAACTATTTAAAACTTCGTGAACCAAAAATCAAAATATTTATATGGAAAGGAAATCGCAAAAAAAGAAAAAACCCGAAAACACAAGCATATTAATTTAGTAACGTTACTTCTCATAGTCAATGGCATATATTTTAATAATATCACTCCCTACAGTGAATACCATATTTATGAATGCCGTCACATCCCCGTCCCCAGGGAGTCGAAGCTGACGCGGTTGCTGGGCGCGGGGCTGTCGGGGTCGCGCGGCGAGGCGGTGAGCATGGTGGTGACACTGAACCCGGCGCCCGAGTACGCGCAGGAGACGCGCCACGTGCTGCAGCTGGCGGCCGTGGCCAGGGACATACGTGAGTGGCCAGCATTATAGTGTGTGTCGTTAATCCGCAAAGTTGAGAGATATACATGAACGTCGGGTAACTTATACTACAAATTGAAGATTGGGTGCTTGTGACTTGTAGTATTGGGGGTTGTATTTGTATGGGGTTTTGTGCTTGTGACAGGCCATGGGCAACGGCAGTGGCTTTATTTCATTATTTATCATGTCCTTCTGACCGATGAATTATTGCAGGATTAAGAGTGGAGATTCCTGATAATGTTACAAAAAAAAAAAAACAAATTCAGAATATCTAAAAAATCTATTTTGTGAGCCCTACTCATGGGAGAGCCCCGATTTTAATTATACTAAAAATATCTTCTTTTTTTTTAAATATTATCCTAATGGAAATTGTCATAAGTTGTATTGAAATTGCTTATTCAACAATATTTATCATTTCACAGAAATTAACAATACCTTAGCAGAATACCCGAGTTCTTTTGAAAGCAGTACTCAAGACACAACCATCACTTGCAGTACAGATTTGATGAAGCTAAGAGCTGACAATGAACGGCTACACTTTGAATTACTGCAGTAAGGTTCAATTTTATTTATTTTTACAAAATATTGAAGTAATAATAATTTCTTTAGACTTTTATAAATTCTCAATATTTCTCAATACTTTTTTTTTTAATTCACATCCGGAAGTCTTGGGATCGAGTCCTGGATGGGGTCAAGTTTAGTTATTGATTCTTTCTGTTAAGAAATTGCTGGCTAGTCTCAGTGCAGATGGGCTGCCATACCTGTAATCAGTCAGGACTTTATTATACAACAAGATAAAGAAGTAGATTGAAATGGTTATTGTTGGAGGTCTATACCCAGCATCACAATCTATTCAAAATCAAAATATACTCTATTCAAATAGACTTCTACAAGCTCTTTTCAATCGTCAATTTCACATTTTAAATTTAAATCAACGTCAGTGTATTCAGTCCGTGAGGAAGCTACCACCGGCTCAGAAAGCAGTTCTGCTGAAAAGAACCGGCGAGAAACTCAACAGTTGCTCTTTTAAAATTATAATTGTGTACATTATTGTAATACAATAATTATCTACTTATCCTACGTGAGACCCAACCAGACATTAGTTCCACACATTGAGGAGGTCCTGGGTTCGAGTCCCGGGTCGGGCCAAGTTTAGTTATTGAGTCTTTCTGTATAGTTAGCCTCAGTAACAGCCCGGAGTTGGGAAGTTGGCGGTGTTCCACCCCCGTGCCTCGGAGAGCACGTAAAGCCGTCGGTCCTGCGCCGACACTCACTGGTCGTGTCGAGTGGTCGTCCCACCAGAATATGAGTGACAGGAATAGAGAGTGCACGTTGTGTCTGCGCGTACACTTGTGCACTATAATATCTCCTGCGCAGTTGGCTAGTCTCAATGAGATTGGCCGCCGTGGCCGGAATCGGTCGGGAGAACATCACATCACATTCCATGACAGTATAATAGGTCTTATGCAGTAATACATTTTTAATTTTAGACTTAAGTTGTCTAAATGGCAAGCTCAAATTTGATTGTGAAATTCTATTATACATGCGCACACCTTGCCCCATAAACGAATCTATTCACTTTTTGAAGGCGAAAGCGTTACCAGTTTATCCTTATTTCTCATGTTTATTTCGTGTCTATCACTGTGTCTTAAATAACAATGAATGTTTTGTCGGACATACATAATATTACTATATATATATATATATATATATAGCAACTGATATCTATTCCATTCATTTCCAGAACCCAATCGCGTGTGAAGGAGCTGCAGGCGTGCATGGAGGAGCGGCAGGCGTCGGTGGCTCACACCATGCACGAGGTGGTGGAGGAGGCCAAGTCCATGACCAGGGAGTACTACGAGGCTCAGATACAGGCGTTGAGAGAGGAGGTGGGTGTCATTGTTCATTTATGATTACCATGGTGTATGCTAGGTTTATGGTTTTTGAGTATTTTTTTTTTTGCGGTTATTTTTTGATTTCTGGTAGACTCGTGATAATGATTGTTGTAAAGCATTCGAAATGTTGGGAATCAAAAATCAAAGTAATTTCAAGAAAAAATCCATTCTCATCTCATCTAAAGATTTTTTATTTAAAATGTGGAGTATTTATTTATTGTCTAAGTTTTATGTACATATGTTACGGTAATAACTCAAATCCCATCAAAAACAACACAAAAAAATGGAAATCTCGCAACTCAGTACCTATCTATGGCAGGATCTATCCAACAACTTTATAATAAATTGTTACGTAATCCCTACATATAATAGAATTCTAAGTGAGTCGAATCTGTACATTAAATAGTTTTTGGAAAATCTTATACAAATAGTCATTATTATCGACAGAGAAGCCGAATCTATAGTTTTTAGAATTTTTGTTTATCTGTCTGTCTGGGAACGCACCATGAGAAAACCACTGGGCAGATTTTAATGAAATTTGGTACGATAATACTGGTTATCCGGGTCAACATATGGAATTCTTTTTACTGCGGGAAAATATCTCATCTCTGAGAAATCTATATTAAACGTTAAAACGCAACGGTGAATCTCGAACGTGAATCGAATAAACGCTAGTTTCTTTAATAAATAGAATGACTTAGTCAGTTGGAAAACTAATTAATTACACCTAAACATAGCCTATTTCTATTTAAAAGATGTAAATGTGGTGGTTAATTGTTATGCAAATTTTTTTAATATATTTTTTGTTGATTTTAGATGGAAGAATTGATAGAGGAATATGAGAGCAGATTAAATACAACTGACCGAACCTCCGACGGAGATACGCTCTCCCACGACATGCAACTCAAGGTAAAATGATTCAAAATTAATAAAATAACTTATTTAATGATATGAAAAAACAATATTCTTTGAATATAAATCTTCTTAATTTTATTAATAAGTGTGTATTTTTGTTATTACAGATTAATCAACTGATGACCGAAAATGCCATATTACAGGTAAATTTTTATTTTTTATTATTGGTTCTTTCCTCAATTTTCATTTTTTCTTAACTAACAAACTAACTCCAATACTTTTAACATATTACACATTGTTGAGTATATATTTCTTACAAATGTTTATTACATTAGTAAGGCAATTTGATTGACCGTCAAAAAATATGGAAATGATCAAATTTATCATCTATTATCATAATCATATTTTATGTCTCAGATTTAAGAATTGTATTAGTAGAGGAGCCCAAGAGGGGATTTTTGGAGTCACTCAAGCGCAGAAGATTAATAGATAAAATATTAAGGGGATTTGCTTGCACTCTTTTGAGTGCCTGTACCATAAGTCCTCTATATATGGGCGCGAGTTTAGGGTAGCCCATCCAAATATTTAATCAATATTCTGATAAGGTAGAAAGAAATACATGAAACCGTCAGATTGTGGTATGATGGGCTAATTACATCCTGAAAAGTGTGCACTTCAATCTGCCAATTTCCACAAGCCGAAGAGGCAAAAATTGACTAAAGTTTGTGTACGATATTTTCCTCTTGTGTGGGTTGTATTATAACGTGTTTTCACGTGAGAATAAGATAGTCCACACAAAAATATCCGCCACTCTGTTTCGACATGACAAAAGTACAAACAAACACACTTTCACATTTATAATATTAGTATGTATTTTGTTGTAGGAGAAATATTCGGCAGAGAAGTTAGCTCGCGCCCGAGCCGAAGAAGAAGTGCAGCATTTACGTGCCTGCATCGAAGAGAGAGACGGTTAGTTATATTACTCTTTATGCATTAATATTATGTTTATTTTAAAAATAATACTAGTATTTAAAAATATAAGCATTTCTGTTTAGTACTAAAGATATAATTATATATTAGTGTCTAAAATGTATTTTTGACAGTATAATGTCAAAATTTAATTTATTGTATTGTCAAACTTTACATAATCTACTTTCATCTTTATAAATTATTATAAAATATAAAGTATCATTATATTATATTACATCAAACTTATTATGAAATATAAAAATTAATATTATTAGGCTTATGTCCCATCTGTGCTGTTTTGAAGCCTTAATTAACTACACCTATTATTGCAATATCACACTGTGATAAAGATGAATAACGATAAAGGAGCTATCTTTTTTCTTATTTCAGAAAAAATTGACGAAGAAATAGCAGCAAAAGAAGATTTAGTAGATTTATCTGACAGTGATAATAGCGATGATGAGGACCCGTGTAATGAGAGTCTGGAACCGACATTCAAAAAAGAGGATATAAACCGCTCTAAAATGATACAACAAAGTGCTATCATAGATCTAAACAGCTTGGACAGTCAATATTCAGACAATAGTGAATTAGAGAATACAGGAGATACCCTCAAAGACGAAATAAATACGAGCTATGATAACGACTGTGCATACGAAACCGGGAACGATGCTAGTATAAATATAAGTGAGAGTTTTGATGATAAAAATAAAGATTTGTCTATTGCTAACGAAATTGTTGCTGGTTTGGTAGGCAATAAAGAAATAAAACTGTCAAGGGAGACATATTGCGTTGAAAGTAAAGTTGATGATTATAATGATATGAAAAAAGCTAACGCTTCAAATAGAGCTACGTACTGTGTTGCAAGCAATAAAAATGACGTCACAATGGATGTTAGCTATAAAGCGCTAAATTGTAATGTTTCTAAGGACAGTTTGTTAAACGCAGGTGATGTAGGTGACGATAAACCTGGCGCGTTTATTAATAATATTATTAGCTCCATCAAAGAATCTAATCGAAGTTATAGCAATAATTCCTTAGCATTATTCGAAAGATTAGAACAAGCATCGAAAACCGATGCAGATACAAAACGTGATGACGAAAATTTTTTCAACTTTAAAACGCTCAAAGACAAACGTAAATTGTTTGCCGATGAAGGTACGCCTAAATCTCCAGAAACACCGGCGACTGTTGTCAAATCCAAAGACAGGAAATTTTATTTTGATAATATTGATGCTTCAATTAAAATTATCGATAACGAGACGAAAATCGATAACGAGGGGAAAATGAAAATCGATGATTATAGATCACCGTCTATCGTAAAGGAGGATCTGACTAATGATTTTGAGCCTAGCATGATTAAAAAATTGTTAGGACAAAGCGTAACAAAACAAGCTGATGCATTACAAAAAGTTAAACTTTGTGAGAAAAAATGTCAATCTATGGATTTATTTGAAGGTCTTGATTCCCCACAAGTACTAGTTAAACAGCAGGATGAGGTCATAGAAAATGTTAGAAAATCTATACAAAGTGTTGATATATCCAAAAAGAATGATACCATCCCAACTGATGAGACTGATATAGACATTAAAAATAATGAATCAATAGAAAAAGATGTTAAAGAAGAAAATATCGTACCCAAAAAAGAAGACAATTTATGCTACATATATGTAAATGTAAATAAAATAAACACAGATAGTGAAGTAAAAGATACAAATAAAAATGATGAACAAGTTATTGCAGTAGAAGACTTAAAAGTATCTGAAGTCAAAGTGATCCAAAATGAAGCAATCAATAATGAAGAATCACGAGTAAATAGTACCAAGTCAGACAACACGATAGACGAATTTGAAAATATATACAAGGATATAACAGCGCCGAGAGCGACCGAATTTGATTTACTTGTTTCACAAGAAATCAGAGATTCTACAGTCGATAATATGGATACTACACATAATCGAACAGAAAGTGAGGAAGTTAAATATAATTTGAGACACAAATCTAAAATGGATATACCCAAAACTGAAACTAGACGTAAGAAGAAAGTGCTAGAAACTTCTCCACCGAAATATGAGAAAGAAAAACCGAAGAAAAGAAACTTACGACTACGACGACGACATAACGCGTCTGAGAACAATTTAGATTTGGAAAAAGATGAATCAAAAGATAAAGATTTAGAAGAACAGGATGAAAAAAATAGAGATATGGAAAAAGCAAAATTAAAAGATATTGTTAATTTACAAAATGAATTTTCTGATGTAACCCTAGATAAGGTAGCTCCAATTAAAAACTTTAAAGACATTCCGTCTCCTGAGAAAAATGATAACGAAAATCAACCACCAGTGCTCGGTGTACAGAGCTGTCCAGCTAAAAGGTAAATTATATATATTTAAAATTGGAACCAATTATCATAACTCAGAATTATTTTAAAATTAAAACTTTTTCGCGAATTTTCTATAAGACCACTATTGGTTCAAATGTGGGTTAAGATATTACGATACAATAAAAAATAAACAAGTAGTATCTGCTATTTTTGGAATTTTCTATAATGAGCATTGTCTTTTTACTTTATAGAAGTTAACATATTTTACTTCAATATTTCGATCTATTGAACTCCAACATCATAATATTTATTTTTATGAAGCATCAGTGATTTGTCGTAGCTTTTCTGAGTGACACGATCATTTATTAATACAGCTTTAAAGCTGTATTAATAAATGATCGTGTATGTTTATTTATAATTTTTATATTAATATAATTAATTATAAATAAATAGATGCAGAAATAAAAGTTTAAAAATTACAAAACAGTAATTATGGAAACATATCGAAAAAGTATAGTTATTTTAATTAATATAAAACCTTTTTGCTTAGTACTCGCAATAGACGCAAGCTGTTCACACCGCGGCCGGAACCTTTAGAAGAAAGTATGGAGATCGGCGGCAGCAACGAACGCCTACATGTACCAAGACCTTCTTATCACAAACAAAGAGTCAGACGGAAGCTTTAAATTTATTAATAAACGATATAATTTACTTTAAATATAATATTAATAGCGACTCTCCCTCGCTTTGCTCGTTAATTTAAATGATTCTTTAAATTGACATGAAATATGAAATAAAACAAATACTAAATGTTAAATGAAGCTTACAACAATACATGTGTGAAAACCACATATTTAAAAATCATTGTTTTGGGTTCTATTGACTTAATAAAAACCCCCAATAATAGTTTTTTCTCAAATATCTTCCATGTACAAACAGTGATCAGTTACAATTTTCTTATATGTATGTATGTATAGATAAAATATTCCGTATCAAAAATATCTAAAGGGTAAAATTAAGAAAGTCGCACCAAAATGTGATCAGCTTATTTATTTTGCCAGGAGCAAGAAAATCAGATGATACTTATTAGATACTCTCTATTATTCTGGATATAGGTAAATGATATTATGGAAGTGATTTTATTGTTGACATGCAAATATTAATTTTTATTATAATGATTAAACTATTCTACGTATTTGTGTTGTTGTATTATTTCATATGAGATATTTGTGGGATGTGTATTGTGTAAATATAATATACTAGCGACACACCCACGCTTCGCTCCTGGTTAGTGCCTAGCTTGATTCCCCATACAAATTTTCACCCCCTTAATGGATGATTTCCGGGATAAAAAGTATCCTATGTCCTTCCCCAGGGTCTCAAACTATCTTCTGACTAAATGAAATCTAAATCGGTTTAGTAGATCCAGAGATTACCCCCTTCAAATTCACAAACTAATAGTTTATGACTTTGAAGGGTATACACTAATATTATAAAGAGATAGTTTAAACCTATCTCTTTATAATATTAGTGTAGACTCCGCTTGGGTTTGTCCTAGTTACGTTTTAAGATTTAGTATAGATTTCTTAGAGATGATATTATGTCCCGCAGTAAAAAGTATCCTATATATTGACCCAGATAACCAGTTATCATTATACCAAATATCATTAAAATCGGTTCAGTGACTTTCTCGTGATGCGGTCACAGACAGACACTTTTTTTAAACTATAGAATTGACCTCTGTATCGGTAATAATGTCTATATCAACAAGATTTTCCAAAAAATATTTATTGTACAGATTTGGCTTAGTTACAAATTACAATTTTATTATAATATGTATACTTTATAAATGTTGCATTCACCGTTCGCGTAACTCTAGGAAACATTTATGGTACTCTGTGCACTGTATTGACGGGCGGCGGCCATGTTTTATTTTATCTATAATATATTTTGACATTACTCACAACAAAGTAAAGTACAAACGTCAAACTTCATTTTTTAATAAATATCGCAAGTGCAACGCAATTGTATAAACAAGTATGAACTAGTAAATAGAGAAGTTATTTAATTAAATAGTAAGAAATATATACATAATGACGACAAACGCGCGCGTGACTGTATCCCAAATACTTCGTAACAAAGACGATACTGGCGATGAAGATGATGAACCTAAGAAGAAATCGCGAGAGGATTGGAGAAAGGCTAAGGAGTTAGAAGAGGCTCGTAAAGCTGGTACAGCCCCTGCGGCTGTTGATGAAACTGGTATGTCGTCGTGGTAAATGATAACAATAATAATGAAACACATGCCCTTAGAGAAATAATTCTAATTGGTAAAATTCTATGGCATGGCTGCTACTTCTTTGTATTTCTTGATCTGGTCTGCCACCAGATAAATGAGGCATCGTAATATTACTCTTACCTTACATTTATATTTACTTTCTCAAAACAAAATCAATAAAAACCTCTGAGTATTATATTATAATGAAATGGATTAGTACTAAACAATCATTCTTAACACTTATTCTGTTATAAAATTATTTAACTAAATCATTTTATAACAAGAAGTTGGCATGTGATTCAATATTCAACTATGGAATGCTGTAAAAGTATCATATAATAACATACTTCAATTAAGTAAAATACTGCATTTATTAAAAATGTTTCATGACACTATTTACAAATATATCCTGATTCTATATATTTTATATAAAAAAATCATTTTAATTTTAGGCAAGGATATAAACCCTCATATCCCACAATATATTTCATCTGCACCGTGGTATTATGGAACTTCTGGACCCACTTTGAAACATCAGCGGCCACAAGAAGACAGAGAGGGCCAGTTCACTAAACTTGATACATATTACAACAAAGGTGTTACTGTGAGTAAATTATATAATATCTTTTGATACCATTGTAGGTTTTCTTTTTGGTATAATAATAAATAATATATAATATAATATTTCAATATATATACATTAATTTATTTGGTTAATTTTTCAGGCAAGTGTGTCTACAAAGTATAGAAAAGGAGCATGTGAAAATTGTGGAGCAATGACTCACAAAAAAAAAGATTGTTTGGATAGACCTAGAAAGGTAAATAAAAATATTACTTTTAGGTTTTAATATTCTTGACAACATTAAAATAATAATTTATTATATTAAAAAGTGGTTTGACATTTAATGTTGTTATCGTATTTTAGTTTATTTTATATTGTGCACCTGTTAGTTTTTATGATTATATATAAGATATAAACCTTTATGTAATTTTTAGATAGGTGCAAAGTTCACAAATGCAGGTATTGCTCCTGATGAATTCAATCAGCCGAACCTAAATCTAAGTTATGACGGGAAGAGGGACCGGTGGAATGGATATGATCCTGAACAGCACAAGGCCATTATTGAAGAGTATCAAAAAGTTGAAGAAGCAAAACGGGAATTGAGAGCTAAGAAACTGGAACAAGGTTGGACTTTATTTTATTATTTTTTTTATAATCTACATATTATATTTTTATATAAAATTTAGGTTTGTTACAACACTTATAACTCCAGAACTGCTGGACCGATTTTTATGATTTTTGTTTTGTTGGATTTGTCTTCATCCCGAATAGCAGAATAACTATTAAAACATTGGAAATAGTCACGAAAATAACATTATAAAAAACTATTCCATACTAAACATCAAAACATACCAAGGGACAAACCTGAGTGAAGCGAGGGTGAGTCGCTAGTATTTAATAAAAGTTGATTGATAGTTTAAAAAGTTCATGATATAATATGCATGATGAAAGGAATAAGGGAGAATATCATGAGAATTTACTATTTGCCTAAGATTCTAGAAAATTAAATTGTACAATTTTTTCACCTGACATTTTTGAATACATATTCAATTATCAATCACAACAAAAGAGGTAAAGTTTGTGAGATTGTGAGTTCATGACGTTGTAGAGGATAATCTCTAGATCTACTGAACCGATGTAGATGAAATTTGGTAAGAAGATAGTTTGAGATCCTGGGAAGGACATGGGATACTTTTTATCCCGTAAATCATTCCTTAAGGGGGTGAAAATGGGGATGACAGCTTGTATGGGGAATTGAGCTAGGGAGTCGCTAGTTATATATAAATTTTTTGAGTATCTTATTGTAAATATTATTTTGTTTTCTTAGATCCAACAGCTACCGAAGAAGATGAGGACTTAGAAGGGGAAGATGAAGACAAATATGTAGATGAAGTAGACATGCCGGGTACAAAAGTAAGTATAAATAATTTAACAAAATATATGATACTATTTGCCTGTAACAAAATACACTGAACTACAGCATTTTGATTTAAAAAAAGTGTTGTTTGTATACAAGAATTTATTAAATTAAATATTGTTTAAATATTTTCAGGTGGATTCAAAACAACGTATCACTGTGAGGAATTTGCGTATAAGAGAAGATACAGCCAAGTATTTAAGAAACTTGGATATAAACTCGGCATACTATGATCCAAAAACTAGATCGATGAGGGATAACCCAAATCCGGAAGCTTCTGAGTGAGTACTTTTCGTTACATAAACATCTCATCTAAAGTGTATCTACTCTAATATTATTAACGGGAAAAACTAGTTTTTTTGTTTGTTTGTATCGAATAGGCTTCCAAACTACTGAACCGATTTAGATGTAATTTCGTAAGAATATAGTTTGAGACCTTGGGAAGGACACAAGATAGTTTTTATCCCGGAAATTATCCCTTAAGAGGGTGAAAGTTTGTATGGGGAGGCAACCTAGGGACGAACTCGAGCGAAGTGAAGGTGAGTCGCTAGTTGGTTAAAAACTTTAAAAAAAACGACTTCCAGGCACTAAAATGTAAAAAATAACTATACGGCTGTTTTCATTTAGAATAGATACCTAACCAGATATTTTCGTAGTTGGTGCCAGCCGACAATATTTTAAGATATAAATATCTAATAGGTAAATATGTATTTTACGTATCGAAATATATTACATTTGCTTTGCATCGGCTGCCACCGACTTCGAAAATATCTGATTGGAAAAAAAATATCTGATAGAAAAATTTTCCAAATCGGTTCAGGCGTCTTTGAGTAATCGGTGAACATACATAAAAAAAGATTCCGACTAATTGAGGACCTCCTCCTTTTTGGAAGTCGGTTAGTAATTATGTTGAGAAATAAGATATTTACATAATACAACATGTCTCACATGTGAAAAATAAAATTCTTAAATTAAAAAATTAATGACATTTTAAATTTTAATTGAATATTATTTGTGAACAACTATTATCAATTATAGGTATATGTATTTTAAATAAAACTATCGTTTCGGTTTTTTTCGCGGATTTATTTTTATTTTTGGTTCCATAGGTTTCGAATGCTTTACAGCAACCATGTTTACGGGAGAGACTGATTTAATTGCTGTAAAGCTTTCGAAACGTCGGGAACCAAAAAATCTAAATAAATCCGAAAAGACAGTTTATTTCAAATATTGAGAATAATATCGTATCGTGTGCGCCAGGTCGGAGTACGCGGGCGAGAACTTCGTGCGGTTCACGGGCGACACGCGCGCGCACGCCGCGGCGCAGCTGTTCGCGTGGGAGGCGCGCGCGCGCGGCCTCGACGTGCACCTGCTGGCCGAGCCCACCAAGCTGCAGCAGCTGCGCCGCCAGTACGAGATGCAGAAGGACATGTTCAAGACCCAGGTATGTATACGATTAAAGCAAATTAATGCTTTCTTAGATTTACGCGAATATTTGACATTTTAAATATAAATATCTTTTAATATAAATGTTTTTTGAATATTAATAAAGTAAATTAAAATTATTATTCTTAATTAATTTTATCTTTTTAAATTACACATAGAATAATAACGTGGCTTGAATAATTAATATTTTATTATTCTTTATATTTATAAATATAATAATGGCAACACTAAATAAATATAAATTACTAATTAATAAAGATTTTTATGAGAAATTGTAATAATTATAATAACAGCTAAAATTAAACAAATAATATTCCATATTCAATATAATTTAAAAATAATTCAAATTATAAAAATGTTTTAAAATTAAATTAACAAAATTGTAAAGTAGTTTGGTGCCATTTTTCATTTTCTTAAAATCAAGCAATTGTTATTTTATATGTATTTGATTGTCATTTGTTTTGTGGACCAATAAACATAAATAAATAACTGTCATAGTTTTGAAGTACGGGAGACATTGAAACCAATTACAATAGAATATTATTTACATCAGTTTAATAATGTGTACATCTAATAATATTATATATAAATATCTACTTAACTTTTTAATAAATAAATAGGTATGTTGGGACATTAACATACAGCACCATCTAGATCCATGGTAAGAGGCTTGTGTTATGGATACCAGATAGTTGTAGTAGTAGTTACGCAAATTTGATTTTCGAGCGCATTATTTCTTTTCCCTTCACTTAAAATATTTTTTTGAAACAATAATATACCTTTCTGATATTTATTTTTTTATCTTTCGATAATTTAATACAACTTTAATAAAATTTTCGATACATGTAACGTCATCTATTGACATTTATTTGAACTAATTTTTCTTTGTGATGAGAGCCCATAGTAATATATAAAAATTTATTCTCAGGTGAAACAATCAGTGCTAGACAAATATGGTGGTGAGGAACATCTCAAAGCACCACCCAAAGAGCTTCTTATGGCGCAAAGCGAAGTGTTCGTGCGATACAACCGTGACGGCACCCTCGCTGGGGCTGCTGAGAAACAATTAGCTAAGTAAGTACTTATATTATTCTGTATGTATGTATTCAGTCCTCTTTAACGTCTCACTGCTGGGCCATTTCCTTCAATAAGAGGGGGATCAGGCCATAGTCCACCACTCTGGCCAAGTGCGGGGAAGACTTCACATGTCTCTCGAAAACTTGTTTAGTATGTGTGTTTTTTTGTTTCTTTCTTATCTTTGTGTCTTTGTATTAGACATGCAGGTTTCTTCACGATGTTTTTCTTCACTGTAAAGCAAATGGTAATCATGTTGGAAAGGATTCGCACATAAGAATATCAGTAGTGCGAGACCAGGGATTTGGATCTGCTGTTGTGATGTTGAAAGGACTGAATACATATACTTGACAACTATTGTCTAAAAGACTTGTATCAAAGCCCCTTAAACGTTTAATTTATTTTGAAATAAGTTAACAGACAATATTTTTTTATGTTTGGTGGAGATCAAATTTTTTTTTTATATTCTTTCAACTTTGAATTTCAAAATTGTAATAATGACATTATAATATGGTTAAAATAACACATGATTATTAAAATTGCAGAAGTAAATATGATGAAGATGTGCTCATCAACAATCACACGACAGTGTGGGGCTCGTACTGGAGAGATGGCCAGTGGGGATACAAGTGTTGCCATTCATTTATAAAGGTGAATATTATTTTTTAGTTAATATGTATATAGAAAATAATATAAGTGATAATATGAAAGTAACATACTATATATGATACTTTCTTAGATTTACGTGAATATTTGACATTTTCAAACAAACTATCTTTTCGAATTTTTTCGTGAATTTATTTATATTTAGATAAGAGATAAGAATTTTTGTCTTTCTGTCTGTTTGTCTGTCTAGCCGTTAAAACGTAACCGAGAGTGAGTCACTAGTATTAACCTATAATGACTTTTGAGATAACTAACACCTCAGTCTCTCCCGTGACCATAATTGCTGTAAAGCATTCGAAACGTCGGGAATGAAAAATCAAAATAAATTCGCGAAAAAAAAACGTAAAGATAGTTTTATTTTAAAATATGACACTAAAATTAATTATATAATATGTATGTATATTAAACTAAATTGTTTTTAATATTTTAGATGTCATATTGTGTGGGTGAAGCGGGTAAATCCATGGTGTTGGAAGTACCAGAAACTACAAAGGAATCGGGTCAAAAGGCTATAAAGGAAGATGGTATGTGGTATTGAATTTAAATTAATGTTACCAGTAAAAAGCCCTTTAATTTTATTTTAAACTAGCGACTTACACTTGCTTTTCTCGGGTGGTACGTTTTAATTTTTTTGAGTGGAACACTGATTCTTTTTTTAAAATTAAAGTAGCCAAGTTACTTCTTATAACATCAGCTATCTTCTAGTGAAAGTTCCTTCAATATCAGTCTAGCCTTTTCGGAGATTAGCTAGAACAAACAAATAGATAGAGAATTAATATAATAATATAATATAATAAATACATATCATATATTTTTTCATATGCATTTAAAAAAAGCTGTTATTTTGACATTACAAACAGACACAATTTTATTTATCTGTATAGTAGATAAAAATAATTTAATTGCAATTAATTAATTATATTTACTGGTAGTTACAATAAGATTATAAATAATCATAAACATGAGCATAAAGAACAAATCGGTGTTTCAAATTTTTTAATACCAAATATGTAAAAACATTGTATATTTTTTAGAAAAATCGGTAAAATCATCATCGTCGTCATCACAAGCCAGTTCTGATAGCAGTTCAGATTCCGAACCAGATAAAAGGACAAAAACAGAAAAAACTAGTAAGAAGAAGAGAGACAAGAAGAAGGCCAAAAAGAAGAAGAAGAAGGAGAAAAAGAAAGGAAAGAATAAAGAAGAAGATAAATTGAAAAAGGTATGTCTTAAAAAATCTTTATAAGAAAATGTATATTTTTCAAAACCTCTTTAAATGCTTTACAATATATATATGTATGTCATCTTAATTTTTTCATACTAATACTTTTATGACAACATTTTCCTTTTGCCAAAATATTTCCCATTCTTTTTCTTTGTTTTGCAAATTGCAATTTAAGGATGCTAAATTAATATTATTATACCCTCTGTCACTTACAAAATATTAGTACCCACTACCCACTTTCTAAAAGAAATTGATTATATTTTTATAACAATATACTTTTGACTTTTTTATGTAAAAATTACTTTATAAGCATAAATTGTAAATATTTTATTTACTCTATACTTTTTATTTGAGGCATTGGAAATGGAAGAAAAAAGCCAAAAGCGTGCAGAATACCTACTGTCTGTAGACGAAAGAAAACGCCCGTACAATAGCATGTATGAAGTTAAAGAACCATCTGAGCAAGAAATGGAAGCGTACATGATGAAACGAAGACGCGAAGAAGACCCTATGAGTCAGTTTATGTAAAAAATCAATTAATATCTATTGTGTGCTGTATTTTTTGTTTTATTTCAATACCTTCTTTTAATTTTTTTATGATTAGTCAAAACTAACTTTGACCTGTAAATTAAGTCACTATTTATGTTCAATGTTAATACAAGTATAAATCAATTGTCTACACATTTAATGAAATTCTGTCTATCTGGGAATGCAACATGAGAAAACTACTGGACAGATTTTGATGAAATTTGGTATAATTATAGCTGGTAATCCGGGTCGACATAATGTAGAATACTTATTACTGCAGGAAAATATCTCTGAGAAACCTAAACTTTAAAACGTAAATAGGGACGAACCGGTGGAACAAGGTGAATCGCTAGTCCAAAATAAATAAAATAACCATTTGAACAGTTTTATAATTTAGCTCCTATCATTAATTTCGGAAAAAAGCCTTACTTTAAATGATTTTAATAAATATCTATTTTAATTTTTAAATGTGTCAATGTCCGCTGATATTATGATTTATGAATTGTACGTAAATATACAGTTAGATATCTGGAACACGTCACTATCCCTGACGCACAGTATTTCCCGTCCATATGATTATAATATCTTAGTCATAGCCCAAAGGCCTCCGTGTTTCATCGAATCATCACAAAAAAATATAAATACGCCTACTTTATATACAATAGAATTTTTCTACTAAAATGGTAGGTTTTATATAACAAAACAACACTTAAATACCATACATTTTTTAAAATGATACAAAAAAACCTACGGATAAAATAAAGTAAGATAATGTAATATTAAAAAGTTAAATAACATCTTTTTATATTATTTTCTGTAAATTATGAAGATGTCAATGGTAGATTTCATAATATTTCTAAAAGAGATATGGCCATATTTTTCTTAAATGTCAAATAATGTTGCATTCTTGTCAAATTCATTTGCTTTTTGAGTACTGAACCGTCTTTAGTAGTTTGTGATTGTTTGTATTAAAAAAACGCTATGATGGCTGAGGATGCGACAGCCGATGCGACCAGACGCTTAAATGTTAAAAAACAGACCTTGGACGATGCGTACGCGGCTCCAGCGAACTTCTTAGAAATCGACGTGGTAAATCCAGTTACGATGGGAGTTGGGAAAAAACGCTATACGGATTACGAGGTTCGCATGAGGGTAAGTAGATGCAGGATGCAGCCAATGCCTTATACGATAATTAAATTAAACAGCTAACAACAATGCTCACGAGGCAGTTTTTGTGGGCGTATCGTGCGTTAGAAACAGGCCTCTGCCACTGATTGCCGATAATTGCTCTATATTCTATTTCCTGCTTCCAGACCAACCTTCCCGTATTTAAAGTAAAAGAGTCCAGTGTGAGACGGCGATACAGTGATTTTGAATGGCTCAGAACTGAACTAGAAAGGGATAGTAAAGTAAGTAAGCTTTACTGATAATTTTTGTGTTATCAAGTGAACAAAAACATAAGTGATTCATTTATTGTCTTTGAATTTTGCATAATCAACTTAACATACACTATTATGTATTTAATATGACCAAATTTATGACAGGTATTATTGAATATGTTCAATAATGGTTTAACCCAATTATATTAATTTTCAGTCTTTTCAGTTTACAATAATTTAGACAAAAGAGATAATGCCTTTGTACAATTATTTAAGCACTGAGTAATTTAATGTAAAACTTAAATCAACTATAAAGCCATGAAACAAATTATAATACAATTGGATGTCAATTAGATTTTAAGATATCTTTAAAATGTCTTGGAGTAAATCTAACAATAACTTATTAGTTATTAAAACACAACTTTTTGATTATAATAGATAATCTTTTCTCATTCTAATATGTAATATGTTTTTTTAATTTATAGATAGTAGTACCACCACTACCTGGTAAAGCTCTAAAGAGACAACTACCATTCAGAGGGGATGATGGTATTTTTGAAGAAGAGTTCATCGAAGACCGCAGAAAAGGTATTTCATTGATCTAATTTGTGTATAATTTTAAAGTATATAATTCATTAATATTCTCTTAAGCGATATATTTACTATAAACATATTTTATATGTTAGGTACAGATTCTAAATAATTTTTATTTATATCTGTATTGAGATGATGTATGTTAATTGAGGGAATCTATAGCCATTATTTACTAACAAAATCTTAGATATAGTGCTTTTATAAAGAATTGATGTTCATATGAAATAAATGAAAAATTAAAGTACAGATTTCCTTTATTGATTAACTAATGTGCATACATATGAGTACAAATAGTAAATATAATGAAAATATAAGTACCTAATATTGTCGTTAAGAATCAAGATTAAACATGCAATAAGCAGTAAACATAGGTAAAATATACAAATGCATGTAATGTAGTCTGCTTATAATATTTGTTATATGAATAATCTTATTATGAGTATTTCTTATGGTAATCAGATTTATGCAGTCATATTTTAAACTAGTGACTCACCCTTGATTCGCTCGGGTTTGTCCCCAGGTATGTTTTAATGTGAAATAGACTATATCTTATATAATATATAGCCTATAGCCTTCCTTAATTAAAGGGCTATCTAATGCAAAAAGAATTTTTCAAATCGCGATTAGTTTGTGAGATTACCATGTTCTACCAAAACAAACTGCCTCTTTATAATATATGATAAAACATTTTGTTTTTTTTTTTTCAATATTTGCTAAAGAGGAATAATCACTATACATAGTTTTAAATTTTTATTAAAATCTCTATGGAACCTTTTTGGAGAAAAAACCTAGACATTACAAAAAAAATATCATGGAAGTAGGTTTACATTTATCGTAGATATCATGTATTATGTATTTCCCAAGAAGGGTCGTAACACTTTTGCCAAATTCTATCAACAGTATGGAAGATATACTGCACTGACGCCAAGTAATTTGGAAATGGGTACGGAGATGTGATGATCATGTAATGTATACACAAAACCGAACATATATTTGAATTTACAAAATGCTCTTATTGTTATTATTCGTTCGTCATGAAGTTATATCACTTAATTAACCTTGAGTAACATTCTGCTACCTACTAATGTATTTATTATGTATGCATATTGCATAAGGCTCCGCTCAAGTAAGTAAAGTACTTTCTTAGACACAAATAATTATTTGCAGTTTTTATTGCCGTGTATATGATTAAAATTATTTTCGTAGTGAATTTTACTGATATTTTTCTACTCAAACTTCTATAATAAAAATATCTCCTATAATATATTTTATAAATATACTAATGACTCACCTCCGCTTTACTCAGGTTCCTGCCATGGTACCAGTTAGTATGGAATAGATAGGCTACATGTATATAGCTTAGGGTAGCCGTTTCTCAGATTCTCTCTCCGGAAAGTATAAGCTTAATATTCATCATATTTAAAAAATAGGTCATGTGCGAGTCGGACTCGCACACGAAGCGTTCCGTACCATAATTATTATTTTCTTGCTTTTTGAAATTCGCCATCTTGGTTTTTTATTATTTGTTGTTAAAGCGGCAATAAAAATACACTCTGTTAAAATTTCATCTCTACCTTTTACGATTCATGAGATACAGCCTTCTGACAGACGGACGGACGGACAGCGTAAGGCATACTAATAGGGTTCCGTTGGCACACTTGGGATACGGAACCCTAAAAAAAATTCTACGTGAGAGTACTGCTTAGTTAGTGTAATGTTAAGTTACATGTTTAAGTTTTCTATTATAAGACTATATCAAGATTTTTCTTTTAGATATTTTTATTCTTAGTATAACCTTTCCATGGCCTACAAGTATCGACGTTGTTACGAGTATTTATTTATGAACTAGTGAACCTCACTAGTTTGTTCGACCTGCTCTTGACTTCATTCCGTTTATATTTTAATTCATATTGTTTTTTGTCTGCATCATAAAATTTTTATTCATATTTTAACCTTCTAAGAAAAACTCTAAATGATGGGCAAATAAGCGTAAATAACCAGAAATACCAACTCCATCTTATACTACTTAAGGATGTATCATGTAAGGTTATATATAATTGGTCTGCATTTTTGTGAAATATGAATGTTTATTTAATAACTAGCATTGCCCGCGGCTCCGCACGCGTTTAGATTACTAAAAACCAAATACTTAGGTTTGTTAGTATACTCTTACATTGCAGTTTTTGTATTTTTTCTCAAATATGAGATATTTTCCCGCGGTAAAAAGTATCCTGTATGTTGGCACGGATAACCAGCTATCACCATACCAAATTTCATCAAAATCCCTCCAGTGGTTTTTCTGTGATGCGGTAACAGACGGACAGACAAAAATTCTAAAAACTATAGATTCAGCCTCTGTATCGTTAATAATGTCTATTTCAATATGATTTTCCAAAAAATATTTAATGTACAGATTCGGCTTAGTATTATTACATGGTTTTATTTTATTATATGGGTTTTTGGACTTCTAACTGTTAATGATTTCTTTTTCGGTGGAACTCCGAAAGTACCTTAATTTGTTGATTATGTTATCAATGAAGAAATAAATCGCAAAAACTTATTTTAAAAATAAGTTAGAAGAATAAAAGTAAGTATCGTGTGTTAATCAAAAATATGTATAAGTTAAATGTTTCTATTCGGAATTTCTCTGAAATCGAAGTAACAAACAGACTCACAGAGACTTTCGTATCTATTAATAATATTATGTAACATTCAACATTTTACAATTTAATCTTAAATGCTTCGGTATAAATAAAATTGTTTACATTTTACTAGCGGTTTAAAGTCAACATGATCAATAATATTTTTTTTTAATATTTCAATAATAAACTCTTAGGTAACAAAGTTATTTATTACAGTGAAACAAATTTGTATGTAAATTTAGATGTTTTTATTATTTGTATGCAATCGCATTCAAAAAAAATGAGTGATGCGGACGTTATGTTCTTGAAAGGACTTAAGTGTTCGAAACTATTTTTTTTTTTTCAGTAATTCGTATCGTATTTCTGTTAGTTTTTTTATACACGTATACAATAGCTATGTTTGTAAATTTTTTTGTAGTAAAATAAATGATCTAATTCGACTCAGTTTGTAATGACCCTACTTGCTGTGGGTTCGAGTCCCGTTGGGGGCATTCATTTGTGTAATGAGCACGAATGTTTGTATTCCAGTCATGGGTGTTTATATGTATTTATAATATGTATGTATTTAAAATATATGTGTAGTGTATCAACTATCTAGTATCCATAACACAGACCTAGTAGCTTACCACGGAACTAGATCGTGCTGTATATTAATGTTGGAACATATTTATTATATTAATTAAAATAAAATGAAAAGTTTCAATCAGGTTTTAGGTAAAGTCCGGGAGAAGAACCAAGTTTTCTTTATTTTCCTAATATCAAATGATGCAATTTAAGTTTTTTACAATATCGTCCTCGTGACCACTTGTTTTTCAATATTCTATATAGTTTCGCATCGTTTCACCATCCACTACCACTAGACAAGTCATCGCGTATGTAGACATTTGAAATCATACTTTGTGTAAATCTGTGCTCAACTGGCACGCTTCGAAGCCATTAACAAGAAAATTAAATTAAATACTTTGTGCTAATATAATACCGACTTATCCTTGCTCCGTTCGGTTGCGTTTGAATGTGTGTTTACTCTTTAGTATTTATAATATTCATATATGTATCCGTAACGTAGTGTCACTTTTGAAGTGAAACTTTAGAATCGTTGTGATTTGAAACTCGATGAAACGAAAATGCTACACTAAAACGAGACAAACACATAAATATATAGGATTAAGCCGGCGAGAGAATGAGATAGAATACATTGCCATGTTGCCATGGTAATCGTTGTTATTGTCTGATGAATATATTATATTAAGTTTCACTTCTACCATGTGTGAATTGCACACACACACGCACTATTTTTCTCAATTTTTATTAGAAATAGTAGCTTATGTGTTACTCCAAGTCATAATCTATCTCTATACTAAAATACACTCAAATCTGTTCAGTTCTTTAAGCGTAAAGAAATAACAATCATACACACATACAAACTTTTTATAATAGTAGTAAGACTAATTGTTAATTCAGCCCTTTTTATCGTCCCACTGCTGGGCACGGGCTTCCCTTCAATACGAGAGGGATCAGGCCATAGTCCACCACGCTGGCCGAGTGCGGGTTCGCGGACTTCACATGTCTTTTGAAAACTTACTAGGTTCTCTCAGACATGCAGGTTTCCTCGCGATGTTTTCCTTCAACGCTAAGACAAGTGGTAATCATGTTAGAAATGATTCGCACATGAAAATATCAGAGGTACCAGACCCGGGACTTGAACCCGCTTCACTCGGTTTCCCATGCGAGCGCGTTACCACTGGGCTACTGCTACCTTACTACTATAAGGGCTGAATACACACTAATTGCTAACATTATTATTTATTGATTTCCAAAATCTAAATTTCAGGCTTAGAAGTATTTATCAACAAAATAGCCGGCCACCCCCTCGCGCAGAACGAGCGATGCCTTCACATGTTCCTACAAGAGCCGACCATCGACAAAAACTACGTTCCCGGCAAGATACGAAACACATAACCGCTTCACTTCGAACTGTAAAATGATTCTCCACTCGCCTTTATTCTCGTTCAGATGTAATATTATTGTTTGTTATGTCAGGATTGATAGTGACGCGTTTTTTAAATGATTTTGTAAGCCATTGATTTAAAAAAAAATGTGTAAAGAGTTGAAATAGAATATGGAATAGCTAAATTATTTTTAACTTACCTTCGAAGCGTCAATAATGAGTGGGTTTAGACAAGATGAGATTTTACAATCGTTATCACTATAGAAAAGTGATTACTGAAAATATTTAAAAACTGCATATTTAATTTTTTAAAGTGTAAATTTTCATATATTTTTAGCTTATAGCCTTAATATATATAATAGCCGATTAGGAACTGAGTGATGCGGTTTCAAACCCCACAGATCTCAGATTTTTAAGTGCAAATCTCATTGTTTTTCTTCTCAGCGAAGAAAAACATTCTAAGGAAATATGAATTTTTGGACTAACTTATTTTCCAAAAATGCATGAAATAACCCTGTATTTGGTTAATATGGTAGAATATGGTGTGACTTCGCATTAAGAGGAGGATGTTAAACGGGCTGAAGCTATTATAGCTATCGACATAGATATTGATTGTAGAAAATCAACTTGTCTAAACTTTTGTGGTAGATATCTATAAAGCATGTTACTTATACTCACGCGTGTACGGAAATGTTAAATAAAAACTTATAAAGTTGATGTTTTTAATGTTATTATATGGTATAAAATCATTATGATTGGATTTAATAAAGCTTGAGATGTGAGCTTTCTAGTTTCATACATCAGTCATGCTTTACATACGTTAGTTGGAAAATTAAAAAAAATCGTTTATGGTTTAAAAGGCTACAATAAAAAGCTTCATAAAAACGATTTGTTTACTTTTTAGACATTGTAGGCGTATTACATAATATTATGTACAATTTTTTTGTTTGTTAGAATAATGTATCAAAAATTCATTCGAGGATGTATCTTCGTTAAAAATTATATTGGGTCGTTTTAATGTTAATTTATTAAAAAAAACAATTTGTAGTTATAAAAATAACTGTTTATATGTATGTATATATATATATATATATATATATATATATATATATATATATATATATATATATATTTAATATTATAGTAATTGTTTTATTCGTTAATAACATGGTTATTTGGCGAGAGTGTAAAGGAGAATCGTTTTAGAGTTCAACTCAAAATAATGAAACTGATAAAGAATAAATAAAAATATCATATTTTTGAAAAAAAAATCACAATACGCATTACATTCATGCACTTCATTCCACAAGTAGGAAAATTAAATGGATCCATTTGTAAAATCGTGTTTTTAAGAAAAAAATACAGCTGTTATTGTTAATCGCTGTAAAATAATTTATTTGCTAATTAAAAAAATAAATAAAATTATCTATAGTTTCGTGTATGTATATTTTTACTTTTATTTTATATCTCATTGTGTTAATCATTCTTAGTTTGGAATTAAATCATATTTATTGTATTACTCAGTGGCTAGAGTAAGGCGTTTCGCGTTTGCTGGAATGGTGACATTATAATTGATTTTTATATTTCATATATAAAACCTTTTTCTGTCTATGATTTTATATGTGGTGGAAACTATCATACGTATGTGTATTATTTGCAGACAAACAGATCTTTATATATAATTAAATATAATAAAAAAAACGTGTGTATGTGTGTGTGTGAAGTTATACTTCTTTGGCGTAACAGAACAAAAATAGCTAAAGATTTCATTACGTATGTCACAACCCATTGTTTGTAAAAGGAATGCAGCTAACTTCATCATGTCGCTTTTTGGTTGTCTGGCATGTGGCTGCTTAAAAATTTTACTCTCATAATTTTTTGCAAACGTGCCAAAAGAAGTATAACTTCAAAAGTATATATACATAATTTTTTTTTTTGCTCGATAATGTTGCCATTGTTAAGACAGAAGCAAATGTGTCGCGCATAAGAGATGCGAATCGATGAAATATATAGATGTAAATTAGTTTTAGCTTTATTTTGTATGTACCTACCGGCAATCGGCATTGATTGGAGTTGTTAGCAATAATGCAGAGTTTATTGTGAATGTATGACTAGACCGGTGTTACGATATCACTATTCAGGTAATAAATATTATTCCTAAATAAAAAAATCTGAAAACAGTATGCCTTTTATTATTATTTTTTCATATAATATTCATAAAGTTTGTAGATAATAAAATATTGGCGGATTAATTAATTTAAAAAAATATCAGATAAAAGGGATACTTTACATCCTCGTCCCGCCCCTGTCCTACATGAATGTACCATGCGAGATGTATAGAATAGTAAAAGTTGGTAATTACTACAAATATCTAATAAAAAGAAATAAATATAATTGATTTTTTCTGTCGAGTTGTCAGTTGGGAAGTTGGTATTGTATGACAGTTTAAACAAATCGTCGTCTTAGTGCTTATATATCCAAAATTCTTGGACTTTACGGTAGAGAGTCTTTTCCTCTATTTTAAAAACAAAACATATTTCTAACATCTATAAACATATAAATAAATACATTTTTTCAATTTTATTAAAGTAAAATTCGTATTATACCCCAATGAAACTGACATTTAAAAAATTATAAATTCTGCATTAAAAACTCTTAGGGAAAATTGGTCGTTTGGAAAAAAAATCACTGAGACGACATAATATAAACTAAAAAGTACGCAACGGTTAAACGTTTATTAAAGAACAAAAATCATTCTTTATCTGACTTCAACACGATGCGGCTTCTACTCGGGTTGACAATGGAGTCATCTTGTCGCCATAATTTCTGCCCTCTGATCTCTATCTCTTCGTGCCATGCTTCTTGCGTTTTCCTACAACAGCGTGAATAATTTAAATTAATCGTAAGCTAAAATTTGTATACATAGGAGGTAATCTCCAAAATAACTGGTTCGATTTAAAAAAAACCTTTCATCAATATTCAGAATGGCCTTCATAATGGACATAGGCTGTGTAAATAAAAGTGCTTTTCGGTCACATTACTTATTAAGTTGATGAAAAAGTGAAAATAAATCAGTTTAATTTTTTTAACTGTTGATACTTAATAAAGATTGAATATCTTCTTTTTTGTTGATTAAGAAAAAGAAGATTTTATATTATTATTAAGGGTCATACTTTTAATCTTATTAGCTAACAAAAATGCCGCGGCTCCGTCTACTTATTTATAATTATATACCTATTTAATCATATATCTATATATTTTTTTATAATTAAGCCCGCCAACACGCACTTGACCAACGTGGTGGACTATGGCCTGATCACCCTTGCAGTAAACGGAGGCCCGTGCCCAGCAGTGGGACGTTACAAAAGGGCTGAAGACATACATACAAATTATAGCTTATGTATAAGCTGAATGCTGTAAAGTTTCATCAAAATTCGTTCAATAGTTTTTGCGTACAAGAGTAACAAACATACATTCTCAAAAACATTCGCATTTTTATATTATAATAGGATCGATCAATATAATATCTAACCTGCAATTTTCAGTAAGCGGACTAGTGTTAGGGAAGATATTCTGCAACAGGAGGAGGCAGGGAAGGACCACCACAGAGAGGAACTGTATCTGTTCCGCGGGCTGGTTCACGCTGCGTCGTCGGTCCATCATGCTGAGCGGCGTGTAGCCCATCTCACGCTCTTTATCTCCCTGGAATTATATCTCGCTGACCGATTTTCACTACGGAAGCCAATTTCTCTGAGACTAACAACTACGCAGGAGATATAATAGTACCTACAACGCGTGTGTCGGTATAGGTTCAGACACAACGTGCACTCTCTATTCCTCTCATTCTTAGTGACCTGACTACATATTGGTGAAAGACCACAAACTTCCCAACTCAAGGTTGTTATTGAGAATAACATGATAAAAAAAATACATTAACTGAATTTGTTCTGACCCGGGATTCGAACCCAGGAACTCCGGAGCTGCACCCGTACAACTACACCACCGAGGCTGTTATCCTGGAATATTCATGTACCTATAAATATATGTACTATATTAATGTTTGCTATTATAAACCGTGGTGTGCATAGGCCCTCAGACCTATGGAATTCCTTCCGAGGAAACTCTGGCACATATTAAATAATGATTTTTTTTTTATTATTTTAAATATATAGTTATAATAGTTTAAAATTAAATCTATTCCACGGGAACCGTACATTTTTCCGGCATAAAAAATAGTATTTGTGTTATTCTAATGTATGAACCATATTATTGTAAAGACTCATTAAAATCCGCTCAGTAGTTTTTCCGTTAAATAGTAAAAACAATCATTCATACATCCTCACAAACTTTCGCATTTATAATATTAGTAGGATTTTTACTTGATCATAAAATTCTTCGTAAACAGCTTCAGCTATTGCCTTGGAAACGCCAAACGGCTTACAACATCCTGATAAATCACTTGTTGTCATTAGAATACCCTGCAATAAATGTAACTATTACGTAAGTTTTTAAAAGATATGTTAGGTCTACCAACACGCACTTAGCCAGCGTGGTGGACTACGGCCTCATCCCCCTCGTATTGAAGGGAGGCCCGGTCCCAGCAGTAGGACGTGAAAAAAGAACATGAATTACCTTCAGTAACTTACGATGTGAATTATCAGACCAATCGTAGGCACAGTCCGTTAGAATTGGTGTTAATTCTGCTCTAATCTAAAACATCATTTTTAAATTGAATAAGTATAAAAATAACTCGTAGTTGTCAGTAATTAATAGGTACCCAACTAAAAACGCTCCAACGAACCTATTTGATCAAATAAAATATACCTAATATAAAAAAAATACATAAATAGTACGCAAAAGTAAGTATCTCAGTGTAAAGGCGGCCTTATTACTTAAAGTGATCTCTTCCAAGTTCCAGATTATATTACAAAGGAAAAACGTAAAAAACAACAAACAAGAAAACATTACACACAAGCTAAAATATAGATAAATATAGATATAAATACATTTGTACGTACATACATATATTAGATAATACCATACCTAATACAACAGTTCAAAATGTAACTAAATAATCAATAGGTCAATAGTTTACAGATAACAGATTGACTTTGGATATTAATAAAAAAGTGGTTTGGTGTCATTTTTCAAAACCTAAATTCCAACACACATACAAACATTGATATTATGCTATAATAAAATAGATGCCAAAGCTCATTAAAATATAAAGTATTATCATTCATTAAAATATAAAGTACTAATTGAAACAACCTGAAAATAAACAGCCAAATCTGTGCAAAGAATGTCGTATTTCATCTCGTGCATGATGCGCTCGCGGTCCGCTATCGACAGCATGCTTAACAATTTCTTATCCTAAAACATCACATTGTATTTTATATATTACTAGCATTGCCCGCGGCTCCGCCCGCGTTCAGATGATCAAAAACCAAATTCTGAGGTTTTACATATTAGTATGATCTTACAATGCAGTTTTTGTATTTTTTCTCAGAAATGAGATATTTTCCCACGGTAAAAAGTAACCTATATGTTGACCCGGATAACCAGCAATCGTCATACCAAATTTAATCAAAATCTGTCCAGTGGTTTTCTCGTGATACGGTAACAGACAGACAGACAGACAGAAAGACAGACAGACAAACAGACAAAAATTCTAAAAACTATAGATTCGGACTCTGTATCGATAATAATATCTATTTCAATTAGATTTTCCAAAAAAATATTTAATGTACAGATTCAACTTAGTTACAATTTTATTAAATGTATCAATTATCTATACTAATATTATAAAGAGGAATAGTTTGTGAGTTTGTTCCGTTGTAGGGGGTAATCTCTGGTTCTACTGAACCGATTTAGATGAAAGGTAAGGAGATAGTTTGAGATCCTGGGAAGGACATAGGATAGTTTTTATCCCGAAAATCATCCCTTAAGGGGGTGAAAATGAGAATGAAAATTTGTATGGGGAATTAAGCTAGGGACGAACCGAAGTGAAGCGACGGTGACTCGCTAGTAATATATATGTTATTACATATTTTAAGTTTTATTTCACTGACCAGCATTTGAGTCTGCTCTGAAAAAATGCTAAACGGCAACTTCAAGCTTCAATTGAACGAGTCTATATAAAATATTTTTTTATAAGACTTTCTTATAAAATTTAATGTTCTAGAAGATACTAACCTCAATTAATTTCTTAGCCAAGAAGTAATGATGGTTCTCCAGCATGGAGGACCTGTACATCTGCGCGAGAGGGTGCTTGCACAGGGATAGGAAGTTGTTGTTGTATCCGGGGTGGTCCAAGTCGTGACACAAGCCTGCCAGCATCAGGGCGGCCGTCTGGACAAATCAAATAACTAGGTATATAAAACAATGAAATGTTGTTCGTTGGTAAGAGCATCAAATGAAAGCGCCTAGATTATGTGGCATTTTGTTTTATTTTGATATAGTCCACATAACTAATTTGATAAAAAGCTGCAAGGATTTTAGGGAAAAAAATTGGAAAAGTTGTACGAAAAATTGGGAAGTTGGGGAGAAACTGACACCTGGCTTCTATACAATTTTTGTAGGACCTCAAAAATTATAACTATAGAAAATAAGACAAGACAACGTCTCTTAGGTCAGCTAGTAGGATATAAAGCTGTTAATGATAATGCTCAACCAAGATTAATATACAACTATATATGTATACGGCTACGACTGAATGTACCAGTGGGCTACCACTAAATAAGGAACCCATTTCGCGTCACGTAAAACAGCAACTTGTACACACTTGTGCTTCGGAGAGTACCTCCGTGAAATTGATTAGTTCAGTTCTCACATGTTTAAAACTTGATATTTATCCGCAAATATTAGACAAATATGTCAAGTAAGTAGAGAAATATGATTATATGCAAATAACTATACAAGCAACTCCAATATATCCTGCAGAATTTGCTATTTTCTGCAGTATTTAACGTCCTGACAAATTAATAATATAAATTAAATAATATTTATTATAGATTAGAATTACCTCAACAAAATCAAAGTAGCCGTTATTGCTGGTCAGAATGAGAAACATTGTATGAGTGAAGTAGAACGCGTGTTCAGCGTTGTGATATGGGTTGTGTCTGTAGCACTGGAGGACGGTTAGCACGAAATCTGCTAAGTTCTGCCGTTCAAAGTGTCTATCTGCGAAGGTTTCCCCGTACATATAGCACACGAGCCCCGGCATGTCTTCCTTGCTGCCTTCGCTTATGTGATAATCAAAACTGTTATGGAAAAAAACAACTCTTTTAATTTCTTCTCAGACGGTTACACGTAAATTTTACATATAATTTTACATGTAATTGTTTTAATTGGTTCTAAGGCACTAACTCATTAGTTCACCTGATGCTTGTTAGTGAAGGGCATATCTATTAGCCGTCGTTCAACGTATTCTTTTTGTATGTACGTAAGTATGTTACGCAATATATAAATAACGCTCTATTTATATTGGTTCAGTAGTTCCAGAATACAAAATCAGTACCTATATTCAAATTTGGAAATTGTATACAAAAGTCTAAGTCAATATATCTACAATCAATATTTGCATTTTAATTAATATGTGCAATTTTTTTGACTTCGAAAACGAGGTCTTACATCTCCTTTAATTTACGAGTACCTTCGAAAATTATTTGGTGGCAACACCATTCCGTTAGTTTCCATTAATTCATCCATATCATGTTTACAAGGACTTAGGTGCAGCTGCATCAGGTCACTGTATACTTTATTGAGATTTTGCTAAAATAATAACAACGTAGGTATTTTAAATAAAACTATCTTTTCGGATTATTTCGTGGATTTATTTAAATTTTTGGTTTCCGACGTTTCGAATGCTTTCAGCAATCATCGTCACGGGAGAGACTAAGGTTTTAGACATCTCAAAGACGTTATATGCGTAAGTAAAAAAATATGTAAATCTAGGTACGTAGGTATCATAAAAATCGGACATAGCATTGAATAAATCTGACATAGTAGTGAATTAAATTCTCTCAAATACTAAAACTTGTTTTTCACAATACAAATGTGGTTGGGGACAATTTAAAAATTGATTAATAATAATAGAGAGAATATCTGCTTCTATAGTTTTCGTAAGATAGAAATGTTAGATAAAAAAAAACACAATTGATGTTTGTTCCAGAGCGACGATGTTGCAGAAAGATAGATGCAGTTGAGTGCTTTAATAAAGCTTTCTTTAATCAGTGTAACAAAATTTGATATAGGTATACATACATAAATTATAACAAAATTGAAATAACTAAACGTACGTGATAAATTTTCTTCACTTCCATGTTATAAAAGTGTACGATCAATGAACAATAGTCGATGAACACTTGAAATATTGTTTCATCTTCAGAATCAAACGATTTAGCATTTAATTTATTTGTTAAAAGTACTATTCCTGAAATGAAAAAAGGTTACCTAATAATTGCAGTATAATTTTTGACGCCAGAAAATTCAAATAATGATTGATGGGATGATAGTGATACCTTCTTCTCCAAATATTGAATTTAATATTTAAAAAAAAAAAAAATTGTCAGTTTAATCAGTCAATCAAATTATATACAGTGTTAAATGCAGCTGTTACATTTTCTGTTTAATAAGTCCCCTAAATCTCGCCGACTGAGCTTTTGTGCTGCGACGATAAGAATATTCTTCATAAATCGTACCCGAGATTAAAGGACACACAGATGGACATACAGAATATTTTTTTTATTGGGGATACCTAAAAAGTGTAAACTAAATAATCTAAATATGCTTACCGATTACACCTTTTTTATCCACAATAGGAGAAACTAAACAGGATCTAACAACAGTACCCGTAGTTGGGTCGATTTCCTTTGAAAACCTTGGATCCTTATAGGCATCTCGAACGTTTAGTGGTTCACCAGTTTTGGCTACAAGTCCTACTGGAGTTTGCTCCTGACTTAAGCTAATAAGAAACAAAATTAATGGAATTAATAATAGATTTATCAACTAAAAACAGGCTTTTAAGAAAGAATATGGGAAGGAAATGAAACGTATTAAATAAGCAAGAACTCGAAGATTTTACTTGTTAGTATTGAATAGTGCTATTATTATGAATGCCTGGCTTAAGCATGAGATCGGCTTGATCGTATTAAATTACACGTAGGATTTTCATTCTGTTCACATAAAGGGTAATTTTTAGTGACTGGCATTCCCCAACGTAAAAAATGTTAAATATAGCAGTATGTATTATACATACTTCACTTTTATCTTTCTTCTAGGCATAGTCGACTTTTCAGAACTCCAGCCATCGTCCCACATGTCAGCTTGGAGGTGATCTCCGACGTGGTCTTTGTCTATTATAAAGAAGCTACTGCGCATTGCACCGATGAACGATTTTACCACTGCCTAGTAGATATATTTTTTTATACTTATATAATAATTTACGTCATCAAATTGTTCATGTATCTATTATTATAAGTATGTATTTATAACATTTAACATAGAAATATTTAAAAATAAAAATTTGCTCATTCCTAGAATGCAATGCCGGAAGTCATTTAGATTTTAATGTTATATCAATAGAAAAAACTCTAATATGTTGAAATAAATAAGTAGGTAGGTACCTGTACTTTTTTCTAGTCTCATTTCCCTCTTTGCTTACAAAGAAAATGACCCTAGGCAAAATCATTTAATAAATGTTTAACATTCTAACACTAAGTAGGGAAGTCGCGGTGGACCAATAAAAGTTTAGTTAATAATTATTATTTGCTTACGGCTTTTCTATTTTATTAACCACACAACCCACCAACATATCAGTAAGCATGGTGTCTATAGAGGCGAGGTCACAGAAGTAGTTCTGAAGTAGAGCTCGTAACTCGTGGTTCAAGTGGGCCATCCGTTGCAGCGTGACACGCGCCTGCGCCTGGTGCACGGCGGCGCCCGCCCAGCACGCTACGCTCACTACCGTGTATAGTATATTCTAGGTGATCAAATCAACGTATTGCTTAAAAATGGGAATTTAAAAATCTTTTCGGCTTTTAAATATGTAGAAGGTATACAAATTAAAATATGTATACCTATCAACTATTTTTTTTGTACGGTTAGAAAACTCATGACGATTCCCAACAAAAAATCCAGACGCTTCATAAAAAGTCATAATCTTTCACTCTCGTTTTTTCTTTCTTTTCACTTTATATTAAAAGCGCACTTTATATTATAGTCTATTATACTCGCACTCGAACGAAGCCTTCCAATGAAGTTCCAGAGATTATGTATACAAACAGGCTCATAAACGAAAATATTTTTTACGGATATGTTTTTTGATACTTTATAATTTACTAGCAACTCACCCTCGCTTCGCTCAGGTTCGTCCCTTGATACCCCATACAAACTTTGATCCCTATTTTCAGGGATGATTTCCGAGATAAAAAGATCCTATGTCTTTCCCAGGGTATCAAACTATCTTCTTACCAAATTTCATCTAAATCAGTTCAGTAGATCCAGAGATTACCCCCAACAACATCACAAACTCACAAACTATACCTCTTTATAATATTAGTATAGGACTAACATGGTCATAAGTTTCAGCATGTGTTCGATACAATTCTAAAACTGCATAGCAATCTCCGTCCGGCTTAATGATCGGCATACAAAGTACTACTTTCGCATCAATCCACTTCAACCCTTCAGCGAAACGACGATCTCGTTGAACATCCTCTATTAGAAGAAACTCTTTTGTGAATGCTACATGAGCTGCTGCTGTTTTACCTTCCTCTAAAAATGACAGTATAATATAATTTTAATATATTATAAGATTTATTAAGGAAATAGTACTTAGTAACCCAGTAGTAACGTGCTCCCACGTGGACCGGGTTCAAATCTCAGGTCTCGTTCCTGTGAATTTTTGTGTAAATAATTTTAAATATGATAACCATTTGCTTTACTGTGAATGAAAACATTATCCGAGAGAATCTAACTAGTTTTGAAGACATGTGAAGTTCGCCAAACCGTTTCCAAAGCGTGGTACACTACGGACTGATCGCATTGATCCATATCTGGTTGGAGTCTAGCAATGGGACGTACGGCGAAAATCAGCATTCATATAGGTAAGTTATGTACATCTTTAAAATAAATTTTACGCTAACCAATCGGTATGTTAACTACGTGACGCTCTGGATTTTTTGTATTTTGTGTCATTAGAACGATTTCATTATTTATTTTGTCCACAATGTATATGAATACACCTGTAATATTATTGTAATTATATTCTTATATCAAATAAATAATTATATAACAAATAAGGAGACTTAAATTGTTTTAGTGGTATAACGTTAAAAACAAGATGAAAGAGAGATAAGCTATATTTTTTCTTTTGCTAAAAAAGATGTCTATCATTGAAAAATAAACCAAAAATAATACTATGCTTTCTAATTTTTGTGTCGTCTATATTGACACTTTTTAGTCATTGTCATGCAAATTTTGGACATCAATTCCAGTCTTACCAGAACTATTAGTAACAGTTTTCAAGACATTCGCAGTTTCGTACAACAATGAGTCCAAATCAACGGTATCTTCCAAGAACACATTAAATCTGTTAATATCCAAATACGTTCCTTTGGCTTCCTCTTCTTTGAGACCTTTTCTTTCTATTTGGGCATAAGGAGCTATCACTCTTCGAGTGGCTTTGTCTAATTTATCCGATGGTACCAAAAAGTGAGATTGTACTTTAGAAATATTAGTAAGTCTTTTCTTTGAATCAGTCGGGTTAATAGTGTCAAGGCGGCTTTTGACTGATTTTGTGCTTCGTGGAACCGGGTCAGTCATAATTTTCTTTTTATGCACTCAGTATTATAGTATAATCGGGTCAATTGGCATTAATATTTATTGACAGTTTTGACATATTATTTTGTATAACTAGTTTTTATAACAGCCTCCTTGATTTAATTTAAATTATTTATCAATATTGGATTTAGGTAGTTGTTTTGAGAAAAAAACTATTTTCGATTCGTAGGAATTTGCTTTACGAACTTTTTTTACTAAAGTTGCGTCCTGCAGGCATTTTCTCTTGTTTATAATATTAGCTAAAAAACTTTTACTAGGTCACTAGTTGAAACTAAAGCGACGATATTCACTATATATATATTCATGTACCTACCATTTTTCCTAGAAATATTATAAATGTGAAAGTTTGTGAGTTAGTAGTAGTAGTAGTAGTTAGTTGTGCATAGCTGTTTGTTACTCTCCACGCCAGACCGGCTGAACGGATCTGGATAAAATTTGGGACAGAGATAAATTATAGTCTGGAATAACACATAAGCTACTTTTTATCCCGGAAAAATATACGATTCCCGAGGGAGAGATTTGTTTTTGTTTTTCTAGAGGCGAACCCGAGCGAAACGAGGGTGAGCCGCTAGTACTTTTAATATATTTTTTAACTTCATTCCGAATATTCCGCAGCCCAGTTTTTTAGTCCTGACCCGTGAGCCAAATAAAGCTTATAGATACCCTGCCATAATAAGAGCAAAAAAATTTTCTAAAGCAAAATCTTTATTTTATTTGGCAATTTAATAGGATTATTAGAAATTTTATATATAATTATTATAATATTATTTAGGGGTTATAAGTACAATTCTCGTTAAAAGCAAATATTTCTGTTACGAATTTGTCGTGATTTAAGTGCAAGTATTTTTTATTGTGAGTTTTGGTTTTATTTTCTCGTGATCTCAATTTTCATTATTAGTGTAGGATGGCAGCTTTCCGATTGGTCTTTTTTGTTAGGTCTAAGTTACTTACTTCAAATAACACATAAAATATAATAAAAAAATACTGCAACATTTTATATTATTAATTTATTAAAAAAAAGTATTAATTATTTGTTAACTTAAAAAAATACGAATTAATTTTAGCTAAGAAATAAAAAAAAACATGAGTTAAAGTCAAAAGTAAAAGTTTAAAAAAATATGAAGTTAAAACTTAAAAGTTAATAAAATTGAGCTTTAAAATATACCGACAAAATATAAATTGATGAATATTGAGATAGGGTCAGAATAGCTCCCCCCCAACGTGCGTTCACCTTGTCGTGGTGGGGGGGCTCAGTAGTGCCCGGCAATCCAACCGGGCGCGAAGCTAAGAAACGCACAGGGAGGTTGCCCACTTCGGTGGGCGGTGGGAGGTGGCCCTCTTCGGGGGGCGGTGTACCATGCGGGTTGCTCCTGGTACTTCTCTGATAGCAGAGTGGACCTTGGAGCAACCCCATGGTTGTGGTGGTCTGCTTCGGCAGACCTGCCGTCGGGGCGTCGTAGTTGAATGCGTAAGCGATCCTGCGACGCCCCATTAAGACGGGGGAAGGTTTTGTTGGGTTTTAGTGGGTAGTACTGGCTGTATTACGCCGGTGAGTCCCACACGTCGTGCGTAAATGAATTTCCCAACGTTAAAAAAAAAAAAAAAAAGGGTCAGAATAGCTGATGCCATTCATTGGTACATTTTTTAAGCAACAGTATCAGACATCCAACTATAAAAACATATCATTATACAAATAATAAAAATGTTAATTACATACAATACTTATTTACCATATATTTTCCTAAATTAGAGTATTTCATAATTGAAGGCAGTGGCAGCCCAGTGGTGACGTGCTCACTTGGAAATTCAAGTGAAGCAAGGTTCAAATCCCAAGTATCGCACCTCATATATTTTCATATCTGAATTATTTCCAACATGATTACAACTTGTTTCAAAGTGAAGGAAAACAATGTGAGGAAACCTACATGTCTGAGAGAACTTAGGAAGTTTTCGAAAGACATGTGAAGTCTGCCAACTGTGGCCTGATCCAGGGCCCTGCAGGGAGGCCTGAATACTGAGGGGGCTGAATACAAGAGCAGATCTAGAGAAAACTTCATTTAATAAAACTTAGACCTGATATTCTATTAATCAATATTTCAGCATAATAAATTATGTTTTCTTATTAAATTATGTTCTTGTGTCATTCCTTATAAAAAAGAAGTAAAGAAGTTCACTCAACATCTAATATAATTTACTGTACAGCTTGTATATACATGTAGATATATTTATTTAAGGCCATGTTATTAGTTTCCTTTCCTTCTTAACTGCAGTATTTTCTAAACTTGGAGTTACCTGAAAATAAGATAACGAGAAGAATTTGGTAGTTACAGATCTTAATCATCAATTATAATTTTGAAATAAAACAAATACATGATGAATTAAAAAATACTTGTTTATTTTCTTCGAATATTTTGAGTTACTTGTTATCATTATTTGTGGATTAAATTTTAAAACAACTTACAGCATCAATAGACATTTTCCTTTTGCTCTTTTTATTTTCATCATTAACAGTATTATTACTATCACTATTATCTAGTTTAATTCTCTTCATTTGTCCAGATAAAATATCTGGTGGACGTTTTAATCTTTCACAATCTGAATGCAGTCTCTTCCTATTTAATTTTGTTGTTGTTGTTGTTGTTGTAGTACTATTTTGAAAGGTGTTAAGCGTCTTAAATTGTTCTGGACTTACATTTCGGACTTTGTTCAAGATTTTACCTCGTCCTGAATCTCTATATCTTCTCTGTCCATAAGGTACACAAAATTGATGAAATAGATCTAATAGTTCATCACGACGCATATTATGAAGGTTTTCCACTCGTAAATGACGCTAAAACAATTATAAGTACTCTTAGTTCCATACAAAAACAAAACATTTATTACAGAAGCATGTTCGCGTACCTCTTGAATAATCTGAATTAATTGCCCATTTGACAATAATTCTGGATGTAATAACAATTCACATGGTACAGCCATCGTAATTTATGTATTTAAAGCATACTTTATATATAAATAGTACAAGAAAACAAACATCTTCCAATAAAAATTACCGCCAGTTCCTCTCTAGGTTATTTCATATTTGACAACTATTTACTATTTCTATTACCAAATGCAATTGCCAATTCATGTCATGGAGTGACATACTCAACATTGCCACATTATATTAATGGTACTAGTTCTTTAATCTGTGAGGTAAATACTATGATTGCATATTATTTTTATTATTAATCAATAATTAACAATAATTGAATGAACTCATATTATTTTTGAACTCTTTGTATATCCCTTGCTTTTGTAGGACAATTATGCAACATAAAAAAATTCTTAATATATTTATATTATATTGTTATTAAACAAAATATGACAAAAGTATTGCAACACAGCGTAGTTGTCACTTATATGTCAAGCGCTGAAGCTAGCGCCTGGCTGTCATTCCGCAGGCTTCGATTGTTTGCTTCACTGTTTTCCAATATTTTACTTTGAATTCTTGACTGTATTTGTTAACCCGCGTTCTTTTGAATATTTTATATTTAATTTCAAAAGTATTATTTTTAACAGTGATTTTGTGTGATTGCAATTTATTTGTTTATTTTTGTAGCAGAAAGAACTTCGCAAATAGTGTAAATACCTTCATGTTAATTCAAATTAAATTGGGGACTGTGCTTAAGTGAAAAAAAAAATAGCGCGCCAATGCCAAACGTCGTCGGGAAAATATCGATGCGTAAAGTGGACCGGGAGAGTTATATTTGGTGGGACTATGTTGTTTCTCAGTGCCTTAGCGATCGGGATGATTTCTGGCTTGCAGAATGTTACCACGGAAGTGCCGACAACGGAGAGTGACGCAGGGTTGACGACGACAGACGGCATGGGGCTGTTGGAGACGACAAGGCCGTCGGTCGGGGGCGATTTCGTGAACGTTACGATACAAGAGCGTCCATCTATGTGGGATATGTATCTGAATCATTGTCCTAAGTGGCGTCCGATAAATCATATATTTTTCCAAGCAGCCAATGTGTTCTTCCTATTGTCGTTCCTAGCTCCTCATACGCCCAGTGGACTCATATGGCTCAGAGTGGCCTTGATCCTTGGATGTGCCTTTTCAGGGCTTTGGGCATGGAGCATAGAGTGTTACTTAGATGCTGTGGTGTGGAACAGTGCATTTATTGTTATTAACTTTGTGTACTTTGCTGTGCAGTTTTACTTGATGAGGCCTATCAAATTTCACAGGGATATTGAAGAGGTAAGTAAAAAAACCTCCAGTTGTAATTATAAGCATTTAAGAAATTTATGCATAAAACAGATTTATGTTCTTTTTAAAATTATAAAATGAAAATACAATATTAAAAACCTTAGAAATATAATACTAAAAATATATTATCAATTTGCTATACTAAATATTTAAAAAATAACATTTGCATGCACTAAGTTTGAACTATATGTTGGAGATACTTATAAGTTGCAGTGTTGTATAATATTACTTACAAAAATAAATATTGACTTCATTTATCTTATCTTAATGTCTCAAATATTTATAATTTCTCATCAGTCAAGTACTTATCACTGTCAGAAGTTGTGAAGTATAAAAGACTTAGAAAGCACAGATGACTTTGTAAATATGCTAAATTAATGAACAAATAAAAATTACATCATGTTAGTAATTTTAGAAGTTTTACTTGTTTAGAGAAACTGTACATTCTTACTACTTTACATACTTTATCCTGTTACTTTAAATTATATTAAAGTTGCTATTCCCCACAATATATGACAAATAGTGACACAACAAGATAATGACAAATTTATGGTTTGTACAAACAATTGCTCTTTATGAAGTTTAATTGTGTCTGTCTGGAGGAATATTTATTATTTATTTATTTATTTAAATAAGAAGCCAAAGTTGTATACAATAATATTTCTTATACTAGAGCACACTCTTAAGTATCTTTGGTAGAAATTGTATATCTCACTGACAGGCTAACTCAACATGCATAATATATAAAGAAGAACAGAAAAACAATACAAAACATTCTTTGAAAGTAGTAATTTTAAAAACTTACATAACTAAAAAGTTGTACAAAAAATACATAAAAATAAAAACCGCTAGAAAATTATAAACTACTAAAATGTAAATAAACAATACGAACTATAAAATATTTTATTGTGAGATTGAAAAAACAAAAAAAAAATTAAAACAAATTATGCATACTACATTAAAAACTGTATGAGGCAATTCTGTGGTCAACATTTTTTTTTATTGTTGTTTCAAAGATGAAGCGGATTGTTGGAAAATATCCAAACCTACTTTTATAAATATATTGTTATATGTAACGATTACTCTATTTACAGTGTTATTGTTCTAATACTAATATCTAATGAATAATTAAAACAAAAGCAATAAAATACAACATGTTATAGCTCCATCATTTGAAGACTAAATGAAGCATTCATATGATTCCTAACATTTAAATATTTTCTACCTAAAGAAAATAGTGTTGGCAGGAGTAAGTAATAAATAAACAGGGTGCGGTAGTTATTGTTACTAAATACCTTGATATTTATGCAACATGGTGCTTGTAAGGTGTCAGTTAAATATTATGATTGCTACCAATTATATTTCTATATGTAAAGATAAATGTATACTCAGTTTAAGAGTAATTAATAAATAAATGGTGCATTACTTTCTTCAAATATATATGAAACCACTCATAAAAAGTATAATTTAGTCATTAAAAAAATATATCGAAAATTGATTCACCTTTGCCAAAGATATGAAACAAACATACATACAAAAAAAACTTTAGTTCCTAAGACAGGTTGCAACTTTGATTTCCCTGATATAATTAAATATTGACCAATTCCTTAGGAATGTGCTATACCTAGTTTGAAATGCGAATAAATTATCACGTGTAAAACTTGAATAAAGTCTCAAAATTCGAATATTTATTATTTAAACAATATTTTTTTTAAATTGCACATAATTTATGTAGTTGTTCTCAAGATGCGCGTTCTTACGCGATAAGATCCGAAAGATGTTTATTTTGGCTTCCATTCCATTCCACTATCGCTGAAAACATTTTTTTTTTAATATTTAGTGTACATATAATGTGGCATAGGAAAACCTAGTAAGCCTTAGCCAAAACCAGACTCGAATTGACAGCGCCAAACTGTTCTCGTATTTCTGCTATTGTTATAATTTTCGGTATATAGGTATATTTTCTTTTGTTTATATTAAAATACCAGTTCCGAGGCCGAATTTAATTCTAGCTACTGCAAGCGTAAGCATTTTTATATCGTCGCTACATTTTATAAGTTAAGCCCCTTCGTCTCGCTGAATTTTTGTTTGTTTAAACAAATCTCAGAAAATATTATACCTATTTTAATACGGTTTACAAATTGCAATAGAGGAATTATCTAAGAAAGATATTGGCTATAATTTATGAATATTATACGAAAACTATCGACTCATTTCCCTCCTCTTGGGTTCGTCTCTAGTTACGTGCGTTTTAACATTTAGTGTGTATAATGACTAGCTCAATAGGATTTTCCAAAAAATATTTAATGTACAGATTCGACTCAGAATTTTATTATATGAATAGATAAGCTATCTCTATGATGATAATTGTGAATTCAGTAGGAAACATCGTTCTATGCGAGTTTTTGTAATATTATATGTAAATATGCGGCATATTGCAGAATTGATTTACGCTGTAAGCTTCTCCTATTTGACCTATTATAACTAAATTAAATTCAAAAAACCCCTGACCATCTTTGACCGATTTCCATCAAACCTAGCTAAGAACACTCCCGACTAATTCACCTTTTCAAACAAACAAAAACAAAATCGGTTCATCCGTTCGGGAGCTACGATGCCACAGACAGACACACACAAACACGTCAAACTTATAACACCCCGTCGTTCTTGCGTCGGGGGTTAAAAATGAAACTATTTTTTAAACTATCGCGTATACCACAAAATCTATACAGATGACTAAAACTGAAGTGTCTGTGTGTAATGTCAAAATAACAGCTTTTTACTAAATACTTATGAAAGTATATATGGTACTAATAAGAAAAAAAATTTAAAATTTTAGTCTGCCTGTTTGTTCCGGCTAATTTCTGAAACGATTGGACCGATTTTGACAGGATTTTCACTGATAGATAGCTGATGTTATAATTCCACGTGAAAAAATTAAAACCAGAAAAAAAAAATGCGTACCTAGGGACGCAACCGAGCGAAGTGAGGGTAAGACTAGTTTATTAATATACGTTACAACCTGCAGCCATAAAAATTGGTATGTTGCCAACATATCATGTTTATCAGTAGACAGCCTTCATTTATCTGTTTAAAATATATAATTCTTATTATAGAAGTTGACCGCCTGGGTGTTATGTCATAGTATTACATCTTTATACTATATCTTTAAGAAATCATCGTTTAGATACATGCAGACAGAATCAGTTATTTGTATTACATATATAGAAATTAGCGCTAACTCGGTCACGCTTCTCTTCATCTTTTAACTACATAGCAGATACACATCTCGCACGTCGTAGGCAAATCAGTAAATTTTTGAGATTCGGCTCATAAACTACCAATGTCTATGAAAAAAAAACCACATGGGCTGTTAGTATTGTTGCTCAAAACAAGGACAACCTACCTTACGCATATATTATATTAGTTAAGATTTCTTCTTTTTAGTGTGCACTTAAATCTCGTATAAAAATAGAAAACGCAAAAAGATACAAGTTTGAGCTGAGCGAGTTGTGCTTGTGTCTAACTTAGAACTTTTTTATTTGTACATAAATAATAAATTATTTATCATAAAAAAAGGTGTGATTAACGGGATAAAAACTATCCTATGTCCTTCCCAGGACCTCAAACTATCTCCAAACCAAATTTCATTTAAATCAGTTCAGCGGATTAATCGTGAAAAAGTAACAGACAAACAGACAGAGTTCCTTTGGCATTTATAATATTAGTATGGATATTATTTAAAGTAAAATCATGTCATGTATTTGGGTACACTACGATGAAAATATTTTAAGCGAAACGTAAGCACTAGAATATATTATACATATTTCGTAAACCATTTGAATATTTCCAATATGATAAATCTTAACAATAATATCTTTCAATTAGTTTCTATCATTGAATTCCGACAATAAATGATGTCGATAAGATATATTGACTCCCCATTTACTATTTAATGTGAAACCGTTCACGACCAGAATGGAGGCAGACCATATTTGCCAGCAAACCGCTATCTTTTACGTAACGATTTCCCAGCAGACTGAGGCTATCATAAATAGTGACTGATTTACAGTTAAAAGTTCTAAATTTCAGAAAACTTAGTATTTTACCCTGTTTTCCTATTTTTATGCTAGTTGGAGGAAAACGAATTATGTATCGTATATTTGATTAGCATTCGCTGCAATGTATTTTATTTTCTCTGGTTTTGATATTGTGCTACTATATACGGAAAACGGTTTAAAGTACGTAATATCTTTAGTTTTATAGATTGAGCGACCAAGTGGTTAGTGGTCAAAAATAGTTTTTAAACATAGTATTCTAAAAGCAGGTACTCGCGCCCAAATTCGTGCCGCACCTTGGAATACCTACTGCATTGCTACCTAATGAGCTTCAAGTTTTTTTTTCTAAAAAAATGCTACGCATTCGTATTGTAATTCCCATTAAAAGAGTTTGTATGCGAAAATAATGTACATGCAAAACTGCCGTTTTTTATGATGACCTTTCTTATATGGCCATAATATCTTCTGACAGTTGTGCCTCTGCTTGAACCATTCATATTGATGCATAAGGAACCAGTTTTTTTTTTAGATTTTCTATAAAATATTTTAAACGATAATAGATTTTTTTAAATATTGCACAGATCAATTGCGAAATTATTACGAGAGAGTTTAGGAGAAAAACATTCATCTTTGTACACAATAACAAAACGTATGTATTCTATTTCTATAGGCTTCAAAAGGCTTTTGGAAGTAGGTTACGTATACTAAGATGAGATCGGCACCACAATATTTGGCAAGTCAGCAAACTTTGTTCAACAGTGATTCATATTGGTTTCGAAAGCTAAACGTGGAAGGGGGCATACGGTGCAATCGAGGTCTTGTAAACGTTCGGTGCATGTTATAAGTTTCTATAACTTTTACATAGCATTATAAAAGTTGTTATCAAGTAACATTATTTATCAATTATCTATTTTGATTTTAATTGCTATGTTT